ATGCTATTCAGTTCCAAAATCTTACTTGCGACATAGATTAGAATGAAAAAGTACTTATCAATCAATTTTGATATAGATTGAAGGATATGGTCAAAGATTTATTATTAAGAATGCGAAAAGCAAAATCTTTGAATCAGTACATTGCTTAAGCCATTGCATGCAACAATTGATTATTTGAAAGGCATCAAGAATAAATACTTGGATGGAGAAGAATAAGTCAAAAAATAGCGGTAACTCATAAGTTTTTTGAAATATATTCATCAAGGTCAGAACCAATGCAAATTAATATGATATGTTTTAAACCTCTCATAGAACAAGAAAAGACTCAATGTTGCTAAGAAGATTTATATTTATATTATAAAGAAGTTGAATACATAGCTCAACATTGTCCAAAAAAGCAACGCAATTATAAAATGAGGAGCATAATTACCAAAGAATATAATGTGTTAAAAACAAGTTTCTTCAACTACAATAAGGACTAAGCAATTAGAATCATGTGCAATACATAATAAAGATTGTATTCTCTCCTTAGATCTTTTATCTTATTTTACAATAGATGTGTATTTAGGACCTGAAAATTATAAAGTCTTTGTCTTATTAAATTTAGGAGCCTCAGTCTATTTTATAGATAAAGATTTTGTCAAAAATAAAAAAAATATCTTTAGTTAAGAAAACTAAACTCTTATATGTAGAAGTCATAGATGGTCATTTGTTGTCTTTTGGAAATATTACCCATGAGACTGTTCCTTTAGATGTAGCAATTAAAGATCATAATAATATAATAGTATTTAATATAATAAGATCTTCCTCCAATTTAATTATTTTAGGATTATTGTAACTAAAAAAAAATAACCCTCAAATAGATTGGATTTTTTCAAACCTTAACTATTCTGATAGTATAATCTAAGTTCAGATTAGTAAAATAGAAGTACATAAGTCTAATATAGCCAAACCTTTATTGGTAGATGCGAGAGCTTTTATGCATGCTACAAAAGAAAGATCATCTTTTGCTATATATGCTACATCCATTTTTAATGATGGAAAAAAGTCAAATAGTATTCCTAGTCAATATTAAAAATTCTAAGATATTTGTGAAAAGAAAAATGTAGATATTCTTCCAAAACATCGACCTTATGATTATTTAATTGATTTGCAAGAAGGAGCTCAACCACCATTCGAACCAATATATAGCTTATTATAGAATAAGTTGACTGCATTAAAAGACTATATTGATAAAAATTTAGTAAAGAATTTCATACACCATTCTAAATCTCTAGCCAAGGCTCTTATCTTATTTGTGAAGAAAAAAGTTGGATCTTTGTAAATATGTATGGATTATCAAAGACTCAATAAGATCACCATTAAAAATAGGTATCCTTTATCTTTGATTTTAGGACTTCTTGATCAACTCAATTAAGCAAATATTTATACCAAAATAGATCTATAAAGAGCATACAACTTAGTTTGTATCAAGGAAGGAGATGAATGAAAGACTACTTTTTGAATTAGGTATGGACATTTTGAATAGAATGTCATAGCTTTTGGACTCACAAATACACAAGCCACTTTTTAACATCTTATGAATGATTTTTTTTATTTGCTATTTAGACGAAATTCTAATCTACTCTAAGAATAAAAAACATGAACTTCATGTTCATCATGTGTTACAGAAATTTAGAGATGCAAGATTATATGTCAAGTTGAAAAAGTGTATATTCTACACTTCTCAAGTTGAATTTTTAGGGTAGATCATTTTCAACAAAGGCCTTATGATGGATTCTAAAAAGGTCCAAACTATCATAGATTAAAAGATTCTAAGAATAGTACAAGATATGTAATATTTTTTAAGCTTTGTTAATTACTACAAAATTTTCATCAAGAATTTTTTTCAAGTTGTAGCTCCACTTACATATTTGACTTATAAAAAAAAACTTGAGTAGAATAAAGAAGCAAAAGCATCATTTCATGCTTTAAAAAAAGATTTTACTTCTATACCAATCTTACATTGCGTCAACTTTTTCAAGTTATTTTTTGTGGAAACAGATCCATCAAACTTTGCTATAAGTGCTGTGTTTTCATAAATGGAAATAGATGATAAACTCAACCTAGTAGCTTTTTATTCTAAGAAATTTTCAGCAACCAAGATTAATTATGAGATCCATGACAAAGAGCTCATTGCAATTGTGGATTCATTTCAAGATTGGCATCATTATCTAGAAGGCTCCTCAAGTCTAATCACCATTGTCGTGTTGTGGTTCGGCTATCATGTGAAAATAATGTGATTATGTATTTAATGTACAATTTATTTAACAACATAGTGAGAGCCATGTGACTAGATTTTAGTTCATTGTAGAATAGGGTTAAATTACTACTTTAAAAGGAGGTTGTTCAAAAAGATTACTATTAGAATTTTTATAATATTTTTTTTTGATAGTAGCTTTTGAGATTGATTTTGTTAGTAGTAATTTTAAATATTTAGAATCACCTTTATTAGATTGGTGATCCTTGAAGTCTTATTTTGGTTCTTTAATTTGATATTTAGGCCATATATTGAGTAAATATTATAAAGAAAAGAGTTGGAGAGGGATTTTGGTAGTAAAAAGAGAGTTTAGGGTATCCATATAGATGAATGGAGATGGATGATAAAAATCTCTATTCCTATTGGTCAAAAATCATGACCAATGGATTTTGAGGAGGCTATTTAAGGCCTTATTAGAAATTAGGGTTATTTTTTTGTGACATTTGAGCTTTAAAGGCTAGGATCAGCAAGTTCAGGTTTTTGGCTATGGTTTTGGTGCAAATCTTGTATGCTTTGGAGTTTATATGAAAGAGATATAGGCGCTCAAAGTTAAGGCGTTGATTTGAGAGCTACTGTTACTATTTTCATTATAACGCACGCATACGGAAAGAAATTGAGGATTGATGACCGTAACTAGAGGGAATACTTTTGTGGCTAAACTTTTTACAAATTGCTTGCTAGATTCCAAGTTGAAGTAAAGGAGTTATAAGATTTTGAAGTTAGCACATGCAATCTAAGGGTAGTTAGTGACCCAATTTACTAGTGGTTGTGTCTTGAGCTATATCTTGAGCAATTTGATAATTTTTTAGCTCAAAATTTCAAGAAATCTATAAATTCATGTTAATAAAATTTATACATAAGTTTGATGATATTTAAGTATTGAATTCTTGAGATATTAAGAAAATAGTACTTAGGTGCTTGTAAATTAGGGTTTAGAGTATCTGCTAGGGTTTAGAGTATCTGCTAAAGTTTGGAATTAAATTTACAGTTGGTTTTTTGAGTAATAAAAGTTAAGGGTGAATTCTACCTATTTTATAAATTTGAAACAAACTGAATAGCTAGATCAAGTATTATGAATTTCTAAAGTTCAAGAAGAAAAAATCCTTCATGGAAAAAATATGTTTTGAAGGAATTTTGTTATATTTTGAATTTTATGCAAATTAAAGGAGTTTTTGGAAGCTAAGACAAGATTCATATAAAGGTTTAAGCTAAATTCTCTATATTTAGATACCCAGTGTATTTCCAGATAGTAAATCATGCCATATGACATCATATGTACGGATCATAAAAACCTTGAGTACTTCATGTCAACGCATGTTTTAAATTATCATCAAGCCCGTTGGAACATGTCTTTATCCAGATTCAATTTTAAGATCACTTATTGACTTGAAAAATAATAAGGTCTAACAAACATCTTTTTTAAATATTCTTATCTTGTATCAAAAGAAGGAGATGCATCTTTTGATGAACAAAGAATGATTTTCTTGAAGCCTGAGCATTTTCAACTTTGAGCAATAAAATTAACATTAATTATTGATTCAACTTTTACTAAGCAAATTCAATCAAATATGTCCTTTGATCCTCTTGTTTACGATATCAAGAATACTTCTTCTAAGTCCTATAATACTTCAAAGTTTGAGTTCAAGAACAATTTACTATATTTTGAAGATTGCCTATATATTCTAGAAGGTGAGGCATGATTATGTGTCCTTCAAGCTTGTCATGATCTTTCAGCAGCCGCACATTTTAAATAAAACAAGATTTTGGAGCTAATATCAAGAGATTTTTGGTCGCCTCAAATGTGGAAGGTAGTCAAAGACTTTATACAATGATGCGAAACTTGTCCAACATCCAAAACTCCTCGCCATTGACCTTATGGACTTCTTCAAATATTATCAATTCCAAAACAACCATGGTCTTTTGTTTCTATGGATTTTATCACGGTGTCATGTTGTGACATGATTATATGGTAAAAATATGACTAAAAATAGTTTTTTAATTAATACTCTATTATATTAATTATCATGGACATATATATTTACCTCAATAGTTACTTATATGATTAAGTAGAAGTAGATAAAATAGAATAATTTTATAAAGTCTTCTAGAGAAGCTATTTAGTAGCTTCATAGATGCGGTTTTGACTTTAGATGTGTTCGTAGGTTAGAAACTTGGCCAAAAAGCTAATCATGTATTGCTTATAAATAAAAAGTAAAGAATTAAAAAATTAAGTGAAAATATTTTACCTCAAAGATAAATTATTTATAGATCAAAGCTTTGAGTCTCATCAAAGCTCATATGTATTCTAATTGGGTCTTTAAGAAGGCCACAAGATCTTAGTCTTATCTTTCTAACTATATTCAAGGTGCTACAATTCATATGGAACTTGTACACCTTCTTTTTTATAAAGACTATATTAATTGTTGGTTCCACTTCCTAAATATATTCAAATATATTTGTTTTTTAAATATATATATTCAAATGTGTTATATATATATATATATATATATTCAAATGTGTTATATATATATATATATATATATATATATATATATTCAAATGTGTTTGTTTTTTAAAATGTTGTCAAGTGTTTTTTTCTTAAAATTTCTATTGATTTCACTATGTGCATTTAAACTACACAAGTGCATAATTGAATTGTTTTTTATGTTTTATTTTAAATTCTCTATTTGCAATAAAATTAGAACACAAAGAATATTGTTCATTTCTTTAAAAAAAATCACAAATCGTATTTAAGGATACTTACTCTACCTTGTGTTGGTTCCAATAATCTAAATATCATAGTTCATCTCAAATATAATTCATTTAGAAAAGATCAGTATATAAGTAAGGTAATTCTATAAGTGCGAATTATCATCAAGTTCACCAAAACTGAATTTGGCTTTCAGATTCTCCACACAGTGCATCACACTTCCTCCGATCTGAGCTTCGGCAGCTCCTGGTCTTTCAAAGTGGAGATTCCAGCAACAGTGTGATTTGATCGTCGGAACCAATTTGTGTCCGTGGCCTACGTTTTACTTCGCTCCTCAAACTGAGCCGACCCGTAGTCTCTATACAACATTCTACAGAATTTGCATGTTTGGTTGCTGGATTTGCTGTGCATGAGCAGCTCAGTGTGGTGGATTTAAGATCGCTCGCGTAGCTCAAGATGCGTCGATTGTCTTTCAGGTGGGTATTCTCAGATTAAGATTGAGGTGTTTTTAAGATCCTGCAGGTGGGTCATGGAGAGAGGAAGCTTGTTGGCTGGGTTGGAATTCATTCTGCGGATAATGAGCTTTGGTTGACTTGGCACCTTTGCCACCGTGGCCTGCACAATCATGAACAACTTCTTTGCTAACTGATCCGGTTTGAGGACGTGTGATGGGATTTGAGCTAACCAGGTGTGTTTGTGTGACATGTGCAGGATTTTTATTCTTATGAAACTGTGCATTGTTGAGCTTGTAGGAGGGATCCGAGTGAGAATGGGTCTGAGTGATGTTTACCGTAATATCTGTAGAAGCTGTATCGTGAAGAGGTGGGTATGACTTTGAACTTGTCAGGCAGTTGAGGACGATAATATTCTCCGTTTTCAGCAGCTACGACTGGTCGAAGTCTCCGCTTCATCGCGTTTCCAACGTCAAATCCTTCTTCAGATTTGACTTCTGTTGACGCCCTGCACATACTCGTTGTGCGCACGCCCACCTTTAGAGGACGTGTGACAACCGTCGTCATTGTCTTGCCTTTGACTGAATGTTTATTCAGTTCCTTTCAGAACCACTCGTGAAGTTTGAGCTCCAGCTTGTGTGGTTCAATTCGTACAATGAGTTATAGGTTGAAGAGAGTGCGGCCATTGTTTACCTTGACTGATCCATGGGCCGGTACGATCGCCCAAAGAGCGTTTTTTGGAGAAACTTCGGTTTCGGTGCAATCCGGGGGTGACAATAATTGACATGGTCTTCAAGGAACTCGTGTTTCACCGGGATACATTCCGTCTTGTGCGTTACTGGCTTCACCTCACATCGGACTGCTGGTCGTGCGGTTACCAGTTCAAAACAGCAGGGACCTACAAGATACTGACAACAAGGCTATCGTCTTTGCAATTCGATGATGGATTAGGGTAATGATCCTTGTCTTGAATCTACGACAACGTGTGAAGGAGCTGCAAGTTCGGGCTATCTCTTGAGTACATTGCAAAATTCACGCAAACCTCTTTTAGTTTGAAAATATGATATGTGGTAGAATAGGGGATGACAAGAATACCCCGCCCGTGGCGCCATTTGATAGCATGAGCGCTTTTGCTCCACTCGATATTGTCAAAGCATGATTTAGCATCGTCTAGCTCGCGCTGGTGTTCACGAATTCTTCTCTCGTAAGCACAGTGTCGAAAATTGTACGTGGGGGTCTGCAGTTCCGGTTCAGACGTTAAAATGAAGACTATGTATTGTCTGAACTGCTTGGTTTCAGATACAGAAAGGTAACGTTTCTTGGCGTCACAGACGATTCATTGTGTAGATGACTGAACGCCTCTTTCCCTGGTCCTAGCATCTGTGATCAACTCTCTAGGGTCAAACGCCTAGCTCACTACGGACTTTATTTTCCCCTTCGTAACCATTGTTGTCAATTCTAATGCAGATGGTTTTGATCAGCAAGTTTTTGCCATTCCTCGTCTTACTTATTGACGGTGACGACCAAGTTTCGATGGATGTCTACAATCTCATAACCTTGAAAATCACTTTGGGTTTTTCGGTAGTTCTATCTTGAACTAGGAGACCCACGCTAAGTTGCGATAAAAGAAGCCGCAGACAACGTAGACGCTTATGAGACGCAGCTCAATCTTTTTAGACATACTGCAGGCAGAGGCTGTTGTATACCACGCAATTGGCGTGGCGATAAAACTCTCCATATGCTTGGCTCGTTGTGTGGAACCTCGGGGTTCTGTCAGCTGTGTCAGGAAACAGCATCACTGGCAGACAAGAGCAACAACCGTGTCACAAGGCTCAGTTAGATTGTAATCTCCAGCTGCATGCAAAGTTCGATGCTTGCACCCAACTCACGTCAGTAGCATACCAAAATCGAACCTGCTGCTTGACTCTTCTGCATACAGAAACTGGTGGGGAGTTACCCATTTTCTGTGAATGGAAAGAGAATCTGAGAGTTGCTCGATGCTGTGGCTAACTCTACAAATGCTTTTACTGCTTCAGAGCTCGTCTTTCTGCACCAGCACAGACTAGACTTTGCTGCTGAATCGTTTTCATGCGTTACCCCGACATGAGCACCATATTTTCTTGAGCTTATGAAGAGAGTGTTGTCCATCTATGCTTCAAATTGGCATTGTAGTGTGATGCAACAACGTGAGGAGCAGGATTGAGTGTTGGAAGGATTGAACTCTTCATGTTCATGAGATCTCACGAAAGGTTGTGACTGCCGACTCATATCGCTACAAATCAGAAACCCACGTCTGAGATTTGCAGCAATCTGTAGCTCTGCATTACATCAACAGAATAGCCCACCGATCTGACATTAACATTACTGGGTGACATCTGATGCAAATTTCCACGACCTTGCATACAAACGCAATTAACAGCGGTGAAATTGAGGTTATATATATATATATATATATATTCTTATTGTTAATAATAACAATGTGGACAAATTGTTGAAATGAATCTTTGGAAATTGGTGGCTGCTGTGATAGAATGAGTATTTTCACCTATATTGAAGCTTTTGGATCTTGGAGCAGAACCAAGTTGGAATAATGCTAAATTATCCACTTCAACCCCAAGTTTATTACTTACTTACTTACTTATATATATATATATATATATATATATGTATAATTATATTATATGTTTGAAGTGTATTTTCAATTATGATTTTTTTGTAACACAAAAATGTAATTATTGAAATACTTTGTTGATATAATTGAACTAATTTTGATAAAATTTATTGTTTGTAGGACTAATATTACAACATTAATTTTAATTTTCTAGAATTTTTACAATATATATATATATATATATATATATATATATATTATTGAAAAGATATTACATGTTAACAAGAGTGGTGACTATTTGTGTGTTTTATTATCCATCTGAAAGTCAAACAATTTATTCATACATGCATCAAACAAAATATACACATTCTTATGAAAAGCTACAAATTCAATCTTCTACTTCTACTTGTGCATGCACAAGACATAATAAACATAGCAAATTGAGGGCACAGATGAGGCTGGTCCAAATAAGAATTTTAACAATTGTTAGACAGATGAATGATTGAATAAGGCATAGGAGATATTTTCACATAAATTTGTTTACAATATACAGTTTTTGCACTACTACCACATTTAAGAATATAAATATTACTTTGAGTGAAATTTTAAAACATGTTCTTTATATGATAAAAATTATACTTATTTATATAATAAATAAATGAAAATTACCAATTGAATTGCATACAACTTCTAATAATTTCTTAATTCCAAGCAATTTAGGATTATAATTTTTCCATCATGGGAAGAAAAATCTAATGGTTCACAAACCTCCATAATTAGTTAAACATGCTTTAGTAAATTAAAAACACAACAGCACAAAAGAAAACCACATGAATATACCCCACCTTCTCATAAATTGATTTCTCACAATACTGTGGTTTCTGATACTGTAATTTGATCAGCTTTTCATTTGCTATGGAGTTTTCCATAATTATTATATTTTCATCACAATCGTCTTCTGTAATTAAACCCTAAAACTTGGTTACCTTGGAGCTTGCTCGAATGTTTGTGATTCTGAGCACACTTCACAGGCCGTTTTCTCATCGAGATTACCGAGTTCTCTGCATATTTTCAGTAAATTTAGTGCAACTTGGCTTGTTTTTGGTCCTTGTTTTCTGACTCTTGTCTCTCGATGTCTGAAAGGTGTTGTTAAGACATTTGAAGAGCATGTTTGTTGTATAAGTTCGGCTTGACTACTTTACTCTGCAAACCAATGGCAGTTTTATGATCAGGTTTTAATACTTAGGATTGTACATACAGAACTACTGGTTCGTGTAGGTCGGCGGAATCGTGTTGTGCCTGTTCGGATTTCGCGGACTCGCAGAATGTTTCAGCCCGAACGTTGAAAAGCTTTCGGAACTGATTGATTTCGGGTTTAAGAGTCACGGCGCGCCGAGGTTTGCACTGATTGAGTGCTCGCTTAGCATTGAATTCCATGAAACGTGGTTTTGGTGGTTCGACTTTGGATGGGATTCCATGCGACCGACAACAAAGATGGGTGAATTCCACTCATATCGAGGGTTTAAGATACTTCCTCTGCAAGTCACTGGTGGAAACGTGAATGGCAAGCGAGATAATGCAAGAGTCAGGATGTCGGCTCTTTCTGATTCTGGCGTTTGTGCTCCTTTGCCTTTTCCCTTCTCCGCAGGTTTGATCGACTACATAAGAACCAGAAAGTTTCTGTAACGCTACTAAACACCTGCCTTCAACGCATGCTAATCATCACCGACTAACAAGACAAGGTACGTATGATGTTGCATATTGAGAGCTGTTCCCTTCTGTGAGATTAAGGGATCTATTTGTCTTTGATTCTGGGCTTGAGGTCTGTGGAGAGCTTGCTGCATGTTTTAATGTTCCAATGCGGAGGAGGAAATTCATTGTCATGTCTTGCTTAAAATTGTAGTGCTCCACAGAGCTTGGCAAAGAGTAAGGTGCATGAAAGAGATTGTTGAATGCAGAATATAATATTGAAACTCATGTTCTGCGCGTCGGGTTTGAAATTTGAGTTCTGAACTATAGCAACCGTTTCGTGCTTGATAGCCATTTTCAAGTTTTTGAGCTGTTTAGTGAATGCTTATGATTCAAGCTTTAAGGATCAGGAAGTTCGCTAAGAGTTTATCAACGTCGATTCTCACATAGAAAGGTATTCCACCTGAATCATTTCTGTTATGAGTAGGAGCATATCAATCCGGATTTTGAAGTTAATAACTCTGTTAATCCAGTCGTTCATCATTTTGTTTTTCAAAAAAATTTTAACCTTTTTGTAGTAATCGTCATTTCTCCTTGCTATCAAAAGGTATTAATGTTTGAATTCTAAGGGATATTCTTGTCTTAGATGGTTCGAGTGTCATCAGGCTCCCAAACCGAGATTTCAGTTTTTTTCTTTTTCTCTCTCTCTGTTTCTGTGTTTTTATTTATTTATTTATTTATATTTTGTTTCGGTCAATGCTCTATCATCACATTTTTTTTTTCATTGATGGAACAGAATGGCTCGCACAAAGCAGACTGCTCGGAAGTCTACAGGAGGAAAGGCTCCTAGGAAGCAATTGGCTACAAAGGTAATCTTGCAATTTGAGTTCATCCACATGACTGACCTACAATGTACAATTGTAATACTGATAACATTGTTACATTCACTCAAATAGCCAGAATTTTGGTTGGAATTTTCCGGTCTTGTGTCAGTCTATTCACTAAAATAAGCGCTGAAAACATGCCCAAGTTTTGCTCGAGTTTCTTTTTTTGCTACCATCGACTTTTTACTTAAGTATGGTTCTACAGGCTGCTAGAAAGTCCATCCCCACCACCGAAGGATTAAGAAACCTCATCGCTATCGCCCCGGTACAGTTGCTCTGCGGTGAGTGATTTAACCATTCTGGTTTTCTAGTTTTAAGAAACCTTACCTAGCGACTGCAGAGGAAACTGAATTTTAACATTTGTGCTTACTTGCAGTGGGATTCGCAAGTTCCAGAAGAGCACCGAACTACTAATCCGTAAGTTGCCATTCCAGCGACTGGTTCGAGAAATTGCTCAAGATTTTAAGGTGTGCTCTTGGTTTCAACTTCGTTATTTCGTCATGAGAATCACTTGGTGAATTTTGGGGAGCGTCTCTTTCTGGTTGATTTCTTGCTGCTTTATAATCTGCTTCATGCTTTGTTGTAGTATCTTTGACATCAGACGTTTTCTGCACGTTATCACAGACTGGTTTGCGTTTCCAAAGCCATGCTGTTCTTGCCCTTCAAGAGGCGGCAGAGGCATACCTCGTTGGGCTTTTCGAAGACACTAACTTGTGTGCCATTCACGCCAAGAGAGTCACCATCATGCCCAAGGACATTCAGCTTGCTAGAAGGATTAGAGGAGAAAGAGCTTAGTCTGTTGCCTCAAATTGGTTTCTTTTATATAGTATACCCACATTTTGGGTTCTTAAACCCGCAAAAACTGGTCCTCATCGAATCTATCTAAATTTTAGATTCAATTACATGAAAGATGTCTTCGGTTGGTTACACTTTCTCGCCATGCGAGAGAGAGAAGGGGCTCACCTCTTGTTTAATCCAATAAATCTGTCATAAAGCTGTACATTGCAGCGATGACCTTCAGTTCGATCGTATTTCTTCCTTATTTGCTGGCTTGCTTGTCTGTGAAGCTTCATCCCAGGAACAAATCGTGATTAATTTCGGCAACAATCTGCGATGAACACTAACAAAATCTTATTTAAGTCAAGTAATCACGACAGCAAGCCGACATAGATCAACTGCTTCTACAAATTATACCAAAAAGTATACACAATCGGTAGTGATAGACTTCCTTGGGACAAAGCATTAGAGAACATTGTCAATCGCAGTTTAAGCATGAGGGTGGCACACACAATAATCGAAGAAAATTTTCGAACGGACTCGTACACTGGAAGTTGCTTAAACCGAATCCAGACGTCTTGGTGGGACTACGTGGTTGCTCACTAAGAGTCTTCCAGCGATTTTTTCAACTGATTCCTGCTCACAACCAAATTGTGTGAACTGGTCGTTAGCAACTACCCTCCTTTCGGGATTCATAATAACTACTTCAACTAACTTGCTACTAACTGGAACATACAAGCAACCCCTGTATGGCGGAGCTAAGGAGAGCTGGAGGTTCATTCTTTAGAGATATACATGAATATGCATGCTTTCGAGAGTAGGATCTTGATGACCAGAACTGCAATTAAAAAAAGACCGATAGTGACTTTGTCGAAGAAAACTTTCGTTAAGACTGCGATATGCAATGAGCACCACCGATGATGCAACGACGTCTTCTACGATTGGTACTTTTGCCTGATGACCTAATTTACTTGTGTCCTCGAAGAAATTTAGTTGAGGGAGCACATAGTAGCTTAAATTTGTGTTAGAATTGGTCGTCGACGAGAATGGGAGTTATCATAGATTGCTTTGTCCAACTTAGCATGTTGTTTGCTGAAGAGCGTGGGAATGCAAATGATCTCCAGGTATCATTCGAGTGCTCGTTGCTGCAATGGGCGACAGTGCGCGTTCGGTGCAAGAAGCAGCCGCATCTGCACTTTGCCAGATTGCTCAACAGTGAGTCCTCCTCTTGAGGATTAGCGGGTGAACTTTGTATACTATTTGCAATGTATTTCATACTGGCATTCACGTGTTCTTTATCACCTACTGTTTGAGGTATTGATGGTGTGCTCTTGGTTTACACTTAGGAACGCTGAAGCAGTGCTAGACTGCTGCGCCACGAGCTTACGAGCTGGCAAGAGGGTAAATCCTTTTGTTTCAGTGATTTATGCGTTGTTATGTATTATGATGTTGGAGATTTTCTTAGGATCATCCAGCTGTCTCTAAACATCGTTCGCGTGATTTTGAAGAGTAGGTTGTGAGTTATCGTGCTGGTTTGCTCCTCATCTTGGCCTACACTGTTCGCGAAATGAGAGAGGAGCAGATAAATATCTCGCTCATGCGCAGCACTGCCAAACTGGCAATGACTGAGTTGGCAGCTAATAAGGTACATTTGAAGTTCAAGTGGGTCATTATGTTCTCTTCGGTGGCTAATGTACAAGCCGGAAAAGGAGTAGAAAGATTTTGCGAGTGCACATTGGTTGGCCGTTGAATAGAAGGTTTTCTACAATCAAGACAAATTTATTTTCCTTAATTGCAACAGGAAGATGTTTCAGACTGGAATAGCGCAGCATCAAATCTCCTTGTCGCAGTTGGATCTCGGTCACCGGATTTAGTGAGCTTCCTTCCACCATCACCCTGTTGCAATTCCAGGTTGAGTCCTCTCATTCTGTAGAATTCTTTTAGTCGACGAATGTGTTCAATTCTTTTGCAGAATACTTCAGAGTGCTTTAGGACTACTCTGGAGTGATAAGGCGCAATCAACAACTCCAATAAATAATTCTGTGATTGATAACTGAGCTACAGCTTATGGACGAAACATTCAATCAGCTTGCTGGAGGAATGGTTCCCGTCGTACATCTGGTGCAAACATTGGCGGAATTTGCGTCATCCTGTGGTAAACCTAGCTCTATTCACTTGTTTTGTAACCAAGGATTTCTCGCGTCACTGACAATCAAACTCTTTTCGGAAATCCATACTTAAAAGAAGTCACCCTTGATTTTAACTCAAATGCATTGTTTGTTTGAATTTGCACGTGCCTGAGCTATATTGAGACTAGAAACCCTGGTTGGCCATGGAAGGTTTGCAGTTTGCTCCAAGGCTGAAAAATGTATTATCTCGTGTGTTGCCAATTCTCAGTAATGTGACAGACAACCATCGGCAAGCTTTTGCGAACGGTAAATATCAGATAATTTCCTATTATGACTAAAATTTCGGTAATTTGCTTATAATTTTGCTAATAGTTGCATTTCAGAGGGTTTCATAAGCGAGATATACGAGTATTTAAAACTACGATGCTTTGCTTTTGCGTAATTCCATTAAGAACGCTACTTTCAAAACCTTTTCGCAGCATTCACGTTTTGGTGTGACACCGTTAATCAATGTAATGAGGTGTGTCTGTCTAATACTTCACCGGAAGGAGACTTGCAGTAAGTAATGATTACTTCACTTCATTCTAGATGCTCCAAGCACCAATTCTTGTTTACCTTATAACCTTAACTGACAACAATAAAAAGACATGCCCAATTGGATCCAACGCACATCAGCACCCTTTTGTTTTGCAGGGCTCTGCTCCAACAAGCATTTGAACTATTGCTGAATTCTTGGATCAAGTCTCCCGATTCTGGGGTAAGGCGGACACTTTTTAATGAAATTAAACCACTTGCTCCTAAGAAATCCTACATCAATCTCTTAAACTCTATACCAAATTGCTGATTCTAAAGTAGGAATTCTCTTGTCTGGGAGGTCCTTTTTATGAATGCAGGTTCGGTTAGCAACTGCAGAGGCATTAGGAAAAATGGTGGATTTAATTAGCAGAAAACATCTCATCTCTGCATTGCCTAGACTTCTTCCGTCTATTTTAGCAGTGTAAGTCGCAAGAATGTTGTCACACATGAACCTCCTGTGTCATTTTTGTCATGCAAGACGTTCAAACATATGACTAGTGATGCAAATTTTGCATTGAAGCCTATGACTCGTTTATGCAGTTGCAGGAAAGAGAAAGAAAACCCTCTGCCAGCTACGACAAGCCTACACACAGTCCTATCTCTAATTCTCGTGAATGATGCTCGGTCACCAATGATTGACTTCCTCGTAAGCTCTTTCAACCTGAATAGGCCGAGTTTAATCTGCATCATCTTTGGCTCTGTTCCATGCATGTTCATGAGAAATGATTGTTTTTCAGTAGCATATTCTACGCACCCATTGTTGATCATGTCTGGTAATTTTCAGAGTTCATTTCACATTAATCATGCTTTTGTTGAAGATGGGCGTTGGATCTGCTGATTTCAATTCAAGAGAATGTGGCTTCGTTGACAGGCTCTGTCGCCAGTATTGAATATGTTGCTTCTCAAAGCTTACTTGACTGTGAAGAAGGGAAGCAACTCTGCATATAGTGCTCAAATGAAGGTTCAGTTTTCTTGAATTATTTCGGGTGAAGAGTTTAGTCAGAGCTGAATAGATGACCTGCCTTGTGGTTAGATGGGAAGCTTACATCGAACTGTCCCTCTAATAGAAGCGCCTGCATTGTATCTCGGGCTCCAAATGTCGCTTGGGTGCTCGAATTCCCTTATGGAATGTCAAACATGGTGTCAATCTATGCAGGTTTAACAATATGTTCACCTCGACCGTTGCTATGGCACTTTTCAAATTCGCAGAACCACAATGAAGTTCTTCGTTGCTTTGTCACGATCAGGGAGGCCTATCCTTCGGAAATCTTTGATTTTCTGTTACATGTAAGTCACTAAATCTAGACGCTCGTGCAACTGTCTGATCGACCCTGCTAAGTTCAATACAAATTATTTCGAAAGCTAGCAGTTGATTATCTCCTGTGTGTGTGCAGCAACTTCGAACGCGAGAGGAATATGTCCAATTGGGTGTATTGTCAGTGTGGAAGCACCTGATATTCAGGTACAGCCAGTGACTGTAGTTTGCTCTTTGCGTTTTATATTTCGATATTAATAGAGAAAGGGACTCTCGACTTATTGTTTTCATCCTTCAGGCAATCGGAGCCATGGTTAAATAGAAGAGGTGAAATTGCTGAAGCTGTAAACTATCTTCTCAGGAAACAAGATTTGAAGTTGAAAAAGTCCATTGCTGAGGTGCAGCTGATTAAGCACGAACTTTTCTTGTGCTCTTTACATTTAAAATATCAAATCTACATTCGACGATAGCCTAAAGATGAACAATAAGTGAACAATAAGTGGTCTCTAGAAGTTGTAGATACAAGAACCAATGGCCTTTTCCAACTGATAATTCTCAATGCCATTGCAGTTGATTGTATGCATGGCTTCAAGTGGCTATCTTAACAAAACGACAAGCGAAGCGTGTATTGAATTTTTAGTGAAGCAATGTGCACTGGCGAGTACGAGAAAGAGGCTATCGGAGGCAAGCTCCGCAGTCCCAGAGAAACCAAAAGCGACCGAAATGCCTGTCAGCATTCCTGCGAAGAAAGTACGAACTGACTCATTCTGTGAACTGTAAATTACATATGTTGAAGTATTCACCTAGTGAACAGTCAATTGATACAGTATTATTAGAGGCTCGGTATTTTCAGAAGATTGAGTCTCAGCCACTTGAACATGACGGGTTGAATTTATTGTGTAATGTTTTGTAAGGAATTAGGAGGACAGTTGAGATCCTTAGAGTTGCGGCGTGTTTGTGAGACAGGCTTGCTTCTACTGGCAGGCACTGTTCCTGCTGCTGAAGTACAGTTCTCTTTCTCATACTACTTTCATCAAATTTCTAATTTGACTTGCAATGATCTTTAAATTTTTGATGCTGCTTCTTGTGGTCACTATCCCCATGGCAAAGGGGTTACTATTCTTTAAAGTACAGCATTGTGGGCTTTTCTTGTACTGAAGAGAAGAGTCATTTTCCAGGTCATACTTTGGCCATTTCTTCTCAAGATGCTCATGCCAGTAGAGTACACGGCGGCTCTAGATACGGTAAGACTTCTGAACGTCGAACACCTTTGAGCTTATTTTGTTCATTATTTGACGGTGTACTTCCTCGCTAGCCTATAGAAATATTTTTGCTTGTCCATGGATTTTTTGAGGGATTTGTTTAGGACCAATTGACTGGTTTCTAAGATTTTGAATGTGATGGTGAGTAGGTGTGCAAGTGCATAACCGAAGTTCTTAAACATAAACGTTCACGGGGTGAGAAGGTCTCCATCGATTATTCCATGACATCAAATATTCCAGAACCAGAGGTTTGGCATTTTTCGTTATTTGAATGTACATTGTAACAGATTTTGGTTAAGGTCCATACAATAGGTTCAAGCTTGCATTTTTCTATATCCTTATTATTGACAAATATAAACCAGATGCGTACCTTAAATACATGGAACTTATACCTAATCCATGATTCATTATGCTAAAATAAGCTTAATAGCAATGCAGGAACTCTTTGCTCGTCTACTTTTGCTCCTTCAATATCCACTGGACACAGAACTAGCTTCCAGGGTGTTGACTGTATGCGAAAACTTCATCTGATGTTTCTTTGAATGAATATTCTTTTTGAACATCTTTCCGAGTATTCTTATCAACAGCCTTGTGATTGACAACCACTTTCAAATATTGAAACATCGTACAACCATCTACTTATAATCAACTCAATTCTGTCGATACAGATCTTGGACGATTTGGGGCCGATATTTCCAACAGCTATTGTGCTGCTCTGGGAAGAGGAGGTCTGTAGTTTTCTGAGGCTTCTCTTGTCGATAATTACACTTGGAGCACTATATCCACTTTACTCAATCATTGTTCTTAAACCATGTACAAAGGAGGATTTTGTTTTGCAAAGTGAATCTAAATATTTCCATGTGGCTTCGTCGCAAGCTGTAGATTCCGAAATTAAAGGCTTACATCAGTAACATCGACGTTGCTTCCTGGCAACAAATCGTCTGGGAGGACATGATTATACATGTAAGGAAAATGACGCTTCATGGCCATAACCTTCCAAAAGTGGAGAATTGTTATCTCGTCTGCGTTGTCTACGCTACATTTCATTGATATTGTAGTATCCGCATGTTTGGAGGGCTTGAAGTAAAGCAAAGAAAAATAAAACATTCTTAAATATGTTATTATAGGATCAAATTCTTTTCAACGAAAAATAGTAGAAAAACGAAAGTTGCAAGGAATGCTGGACTTTTGAATGAATATGGCATAAGGATTTAAGGGTCACCCCCTAGAACATTCATTAGGAGCTTTGTTTCCGCACCCTGATTTTTTTAATGATTTAACTGCAGTTGCTATCCGATGCGCTTGGTGTTGTCCATGATCCAGAGTGGATAATGTCGTTTGGCAATGCCTTGGCAACTCACTACAATCTGTATGATGACAACCAACAGATATCGCTCTTGCACAGGTATGTGATTTAGTATTTACTGAATGTGATTCTGAGATATTGTATGTACTTCGCATGTTAGTTTAGTATATCCTGTACAGAATGCTCAAGGACAGCAACTGTTTAATTTGGAGAGCTATAAAAACTAATTGAGAATATTCGGCAGGTGCATGGGAACTGTTTTACAAAAAACTGATAACGAAGTGTATGTGCAACGGATGATTACTCTTATGTATCAACGTTCTGATGTCTCAAATAAGATAAATAGAGGAGGTCTTGCAACGGCAATGGGTCTGGTAACAAGAGCTCTCAAACGACTCATCAACGGGTTTTCTGCACCAATCTTTAACGTTATCTTAATGGTGTTCATTTTATTTTTCCCTTCCTCACGCATCAGAAAGCCTTCACAAGTGCAACGTATTGTTTCAGGTCGCTTCTGCACATCTGGATACTGTGTTGGCAAAGCTGCGAAGAATCCTAGACAATCACAAACGTAATGGATTTCTGAGGTACTGAAAATGAAGTTACTTTGGACACTCATTTTCATGGAGTAACACTAACTAAATGGGATAATTTTTCTTACTGAAGTCAATTCTTAACGAGGCATTTGAGTAGAGATCGAATTCTTTTCGATGCAAGATAGGACATGACATACTTGTCTCTCCCTTTGTAGATTTGTATTGCATTTTGTGAAGCCCCAGAAGATTAGAGCAGTTGACAATGTATTCGCAACTTTAGCACTCATGTATGGATATACTGCATCATACGCACCGTCAAGTGGCATTGAAGCCCGTATTGAGATACTAGTGGTAAGATCTCTATATTACTTGCAATTTGCAAGGAGCTCTGTGAAGCGATTCTCTTGACAATAGTCTTTTGGAAGAGGCCCAGCGCTTAGCTATTCCACACTGACACGTGGAAGTTGAAATTAGTATACTAGCCTAGTGCACACCAGAAGCATATGGAGTGTCAAACTTTGTATGCATCTTGCAGGGAAGTGATATGCTGAAGGGCTTTTTGAAGGTTAAAGCTCAAGCATCAAAGCAAGCTGTTTTATCTGCCATCAATCTTCTGGGTATGACAATTGAGAATCCTCGAAAGATCTTTGAATTCTTGATAGTTAATTTTAAGCGATGGAACCTCTTATTACTGCATTGATCGGCAGGCCAAGCGGTTATCAAAGCTGCAAAGAATGGGACAGTTTTTCCTTTGAAAAAAAGGGACATTATGCTGAACTACATTATTTCTCTTATGGAAAAGGACGAAAAAAACAGCTTGGACATTGAACTGCAGCATACTCAGGTACTTATACAAGGGACGTCTTTAAAAGTGTATGACCTCTTTGCTTTTCTCTCCTTATCCGGTGTTTTACATCAGGAACAATAATAGCATGTCCAAGACACAGTGCATGGACAAAGAGTCCAGCCTTATATATGAAAGAATTGCAGGAGATGGCTTTAGATGCTTGCGCGACATTGGTTTCAGTAAATCCCAAGTTGACGTCGAAAATGCGAGACTCTGTCCTCCAGGTATATGTTTTCACTCTAATTCATTTTCATTCGAAACAAACTTCAGATGAAATTTAAAATCATATATTCATGTGAAAGACACATTAGAAGAACAAAAGCACGCAGATACTGGACCGTGGCATGAATGTGCAGTTTCATATACTTGAGCACAACATTAGACCCTGCTTAAGTGGGGAATACCCAAAGATTACTAACTTCCTTTCATCAGAGACGGACAAGCCTCAAGATTAGGTTCAGGAAGTGATCATAGGTAATCTCTAATTCTCAGACTATCTTCGCCGAGGGTTTTTGGATGTTTCCCAGGCAGCGTTTGGCTTCTTCACCTTGCCAATGTCGCTTGCAGTCAGCGACACACTGTTCACCAATTTAACAAGGTTTTTATGTACGATTTTGCTCACTAGGTAATTCACGATTTCCTTTCTAAATTATGCTGGTGTGAATCTTTAATGAATCGCGTAAGATCATCATGTTGATCATTTCTCTTCAACTTATAATTCTGATACTGATTCCTCATTCTTCGCAAAACCTCTTAAGCTTTGATTGAATGTGGAAGGTCGATGTATTTCTGAATTTCCAGTTCACTGTTAATCGTTTTGTTAATCTACTTTAGTTGATTGGGTATCGATATCATTTCTGAAAGTATTCTCATATTAAAAACACTGTATACTTTAATTGTTTCCGCTTGTTTTGTTTCACAAACCAGTAGACATGCCACGTACTCACAAATCTTGCATATGAATTTGCTAACTCTGAAGAATATTTGTTCTCAACTGATTTCTCAGTGGCGATGACGGAAAAAGTAGAGCAATGCAATTGCAGTTTCTATTGAAACGTCTTGATGAGTTCGCTTCTTCGTCAATGGAGTATGAAAGAGAGAGGGCAGTTCGTACAGTTTTGGCACTTCTGCAGTATTATCGAGCCCTTTGTTTTCCTGGAAGCTGTTATGTTGGCTGCACTGGCAGTTACATGCACCTCCGATCATCTTCAGACACCGATCAGAGTGGTGGAGCAGGTAATTGTTCCACGATTCCCTTTCTAAGTTATGGAAAGCCGATCCCTCGGTCGGTGGATGGAAGTTGATCATCTCTGAATGGCATGCAATAATTGAAAATATGTTTTTTCATCTGGTGTGAATTGATGATGATGTTGTGGTTGAAAGGACCAGAACTCCAGTTTTCTTGATGTCCAAAAATCAGAATTTTACATTTGGTTGCTAGACAGCTTAGATATTCATAGATTTAATGGTGGCAATTTGATATTTGAGCAGCTGGTCCTGCTTTGCTGCCACCTCGTGAAGCCTTGAGGCTCGGGGAAAGAATCGTAGCTTTCTTGCCGCGTTGCACAGATGTGTCTCCAGTTATCAGAATACTAGCTGGTCAGGTGAAATATGATTTCTTCTCGCTTTTTAAAAAATTACTCCTTGAGATAATAAGGCTTTAGAATTGCGGCTGAGAGTTTAACTTTGAAATATGCCACCGCAAGTTACCGCTTTCCTATTGTGAATGAAGCAGATAATCACCATACTCTGTAACATGGTAATGCTAATTCCCGACCCAGCTGGAGCCAAGAGTACGGATGACAGCATAGAATTGAGTTTGGCGATAACAGCACTGCAGGACCTCACAGACAGCACTAAAGGGGTAAGTTAAACTGAAGGCATTGAGTATGTTCTCAAATTTTGTATTGTTCCAGAGATTTGTGCGTAACTCAACAACCCAGGACACTCGTTTTTAGAATGAGAATAGAGCATAACAATTGTTTTACGTTTTCAACTCAATTATCATAGTGCAATTCTCACCTGTGATGTTAACGCCTTGCAGAAGACAGATGGATCAGAGGTCAATGTACTTCAACGCGTCGTTGATGCTGTTTTGAATCTTCTCAATTATACGGAGGTAGGTTAACGGAGGACAACACGGTGGATGATTTTACGAGGATGATTTATAATTATTAAGTTGCTTTAAAATTAAATACCTGCTAATCTTCAAGTGTCCAGAAGGTCCTCTTGGCATTACGTCATGGTTTGAACCATATTGCAGAAAATACCATCTCCCAAAGAAGAAATAATTTTGGAAAAATTGCAGACTAGTCAAGCGGCGCACGAGCTGCATGCAGGAAGCTCAGATCTATGCACATGGATACATTAACATAAACCTAAATGGTAATTCTTGGGTTGAGGGTCAGGTGGTTGCTGCGTTGAAAGGATGTAAAATTGCTGTTTGTGATAAGGTCTTGCAGTCGGCACAAGGAGCCATGTCCGCACTTACTCAAATCATATACTCTCGAGGTTCTCAATTACGAGAAGGAGACATATGCAAGTAAGAGCTTCGTTGTCCTGAATATCAAAGGCTCTGATCTTATGGTTTCAATTCGCAGTCGTGTAAAGAGCTTAGTGTCTATTTCCGGTTGGGTGGCAGGATAGCGCGAAATTTGTTTGAAGCTGCTGCAATTGATTGTGATAGGCATCAGGGAATTCTTGCGGTTGTAAGACTTCACTTCTCTTCAACTCCAGGAACTTCTATGTTTGACAGAACGTCTTTCGTTCAAAATAGTTTACCAACTGTGATAAATGGGTTCAGAAGGAGCAACCTCTTCGAGGCAAAGTTGTCCATAAGATTGTATTGCTATCTACTACTATTTCAATCAATTTTTTATATATGTGGGATCATGTACTTGCAATTGAATATTATTCGAAATTTTGACAGGTATGTAGCCTTGCAGAGCATTCTGTGGCAAAAGTGGTATTTTCAGAGATAATCACTGCTGGAGAAATTGAACTCGTTGATGACTTGGACAAGAGAAAACTTTGTCGGTTTGAAAAAATAATTCTTGTGAGTGATCCAGTTACTTGTGCCCTCGTTCTGTTAATTATATCTGAGAAGATAAATTTGAAAGAGACTTCCTTGAGTGATGGGCCTTGATGCACTTTGCCATTTTGACTATAAGTACCAGCTCGAATTAAAATGCCTTAAAGAACAAGGAGTTAATTCGATATAGAAGAATAGTAAATCAATAATGAGTAAACTTGAATCAAATAAGGGCTTTTTGTGTAATCTCAGAGGTAAATGCATTCATAATGTCATTTGTTAGTGACCACCATTTCCGGAGCATCTAACGTTGTAGTTAATTTGCATGACAGGCGATCTCTCATCACGAAAAGTTGTCTCTCATCTTTCTGGAATATGTGGTGGACATTTTGGATCATGCCCCTGTCTTTAAAGAGGATGATGCAGAAAAAGGCAACATTTCAGACCACCTGACATTTCCTATGAGTCTTTGCCAACGGTCGCAGGCAGCCACTCTAGCACTTCAAGAAATTCTTAGGTACAATTTTCGTTAAGAATGTGCATAAATCTATGAGATGGATTGAACTCAGGTTAGCTAACCTACATTCTGGATTACTCAATTTGCTTATAAACGTGTGTTACGCGAGCACTTTGTCTTTCCAACCTTCGGCGTTCACTGATCTTGGATTAAGTTGTGGATTTGCATTTCGACAGGGGTGCAAATGATACTGTCAAGCAAGCCGTCAATCAGTGCTATCCAAGAGTGTTGTGTTGTTTGTTGTTGCGCATTGGAAGCATACAAGAATCCATCAGCATAGATATGCAACCATTGAGGTACGTGACCTAGGTTCCGGTATCTCACAATCGTTGTGGTTTTGTGAAGTCATTATATCATTCCACAGCACCTATAATGCGACATTTTCACAATAGTAGAAAACTTGAAGATGTAACTATACATGAATATCAAGTGGAACAAGGTGAATTTCTTTCTTGGATAATTCTGCACATCTGACCAATCCTTCCATGCTGAGCATCAACTCCATTGCTTTTGATGGATGTGCAGGGATATGATTACAACCATTCATGTCTTTTCTGAAACCGTGGAAAATGACGACATGGGTAAGGTACTAAATTAACCAAGATAGAAGGATTATGTTCAGTGACAAGATCTGCAAGTACTTGTGGTGCACGTTGTTTATAATAAACTGAGTCAGAGTAAAAGTTAAGAATACTGGGAGTCGATCATCAGAAATTGGGTACTCGTCATCATTGCTGTTGTAAATTTATTGAAATAAATCGATCAACTTGATCATGCCCAGACATCCTTTCATGTAAATTTATGAGGCTACAGGGACTTAATGTTTTGTATTTGGGAACTTAGCCAGTATTTTGGTTTAGGTTTTGTTCACCGACGGGGAGCAGCGCTTGAGTGGAGAGCGTTGGACTGAGGCAGTTGAAGAGGTTGCTTCAAATTCTGCTAGAGAAAAACCAGAAGAAGTAACTTTAGCCACCATTAACTTTCTTCTGAGTTGTCTAAACTAAGTTCTGGAAGTTCTTATGTTGTTTCACCGATTTATCTATTGCATATTTTGATCTATGCAGGTGACCAACATGTGCACATTACTATGGCCAGCTTTGGAGAGGCAGCATGACTGCCAGCGTGCTGCTGCAGCAGCAGCTCTTTCTGGATTGGTCCAACACTGGTATTCTTTGTGACGAAATATTTCTTTTATAATGCTTTCCATTCATGAATTGTTCTCATGATCAAATTTAGAAGAGACAGGTCATATCTCATGTGTGGACCATATTCTGGACAGATGATTTACATTTTATATCCTGTTCCTTTTGCACAAACTTCATTTTAAACTTCCTTCACTCAATTCTCAATCTGCGTTGTCCGTGGTATCTCTAAGTACTTAGTATGAATTTCATTGAGTATGCAGTGAAAATACAAGCATCCTTTTGGGTTCCCTTGTGGAAGCTCTGACTGCTCACACTAGTGACGAATCTTCTACTGTACGACTTTTATGTGTGAGAAGTCTTGTTCAGGTCTGTCACGCTTTTTACTTTCATCCTCCGCTCTCAGTGAATTTACCGGATACTTGAATAAATTTTTTCATAATATCCTTTTACACTGCAAACTCCGAGTTGAATAGCTATTTGTTTTATGTCAAGTAAATATTGTAAATTTAAAGGCTTGTAGATGATAAAGAGAGGAGTTACCGCATTCGTGCCAGAGGCTCTGAATGTGATTGTCGCTTTATTGGAAGATAAAGAGGATGAGGTGGCTAATGCAGCTGTCTGCGGACTTTCACCTGTAAGTTGCCAAATTGTGCTTGATTCTGAAAACGCCGCCATTTACCATTTCTTATGATTAGAAGCACGAAGATCCTCCACACCTTTCCGAGTGCAGGATGTTTGCCAGGCAAGTGATTGCGTGGTGTACTCCAATTGGTATCTTTGAAAGGGGATCTTCTGCGTAGCCTCTGGAACTAATAATGATATGGTTGTCGCAGTTTTATTTCGCCTTGTATCATGCTTTTAGACTCGGTGGTTATTGAATTCCAGGTCATCCAGGTCGCAAGTGCTGAGGTTGTGTATCCAATGTTACTGAACCTGTGTTTGCGGTTAAGTATCCTTCAGGTAAGACGATGCATTCAGCAGTTGAAATCCGGTAATTGTAAGCTAAATCTGATTACTTTATTATTCAGGGCAAAAACTAACTTTAAATTCGGGGCATACATTAGACTCGGCATTTGGAAAGCACGAGAGCTGCAGCATTTGAGGCTCTCGGATCTGTTAGTAAATTTGCCACCGGTGTTCAACTTGGTACGTTTATGGAACAGGTGAGCACTAATCTTCTATAAAGAGAATGTTTCTCACAATACTCTGCCTGGGTCAGAATGGAGAAAGAAGATATTACTCATCTGATTGTCAGAACACAATAAAATGTGTACATTATTCCATGCATTTCTTCAGATTCATAAAATATTGCCGCGCTTGGTGTTTCATGTCAATGATGAAGCACCTTCTGTATCGCTAGCCTGTAAGGTTAGTTCAACTTTTCTCGATGGCTCCTATGCCTAAGTCTCATCGACCTTGCACAGTGAAAACCGTGGACACAAACTCTGTGACATTTCCTTTTTTTTTTTTTTTTTTATTGTGATCGAGTAAATATGTCTGTCTCATGGAGACATCTGACTTTCGAACACTTGTCCAGAATGCCTTAAGGAGTATTTCACCATTGTTACATGCTCAAGACATTAGAGCACTGGTCAACTTGCGAACATTTGAATTTGGTAGAAGGTATGAACATCCAAATGGTTTCTCCTGACTGAAACTAGATCTCAATGTAACTTGTATTCACAAGTCCTGTAGGAGTATGTTGGGAAGGTGAAATTATGGTGCTATGATTAAATTTTGGCATGCATGTGCATGTAACTTTTGCAGTATGGAGTATGATGATTTTGTCAAGGAATTTGTGAAGCATCTCGTGCTTCAATTTCGTGACAAAGTGGACATCTACGTATCATGTGCAATTCAGGCAAGCTGGCAATACTATCAATCTTCAAAGATCTTTCTAACCCAAACACAACACGGTCCATATCTCACATAATTCCTCACAATTTTGTACGAGCCTAGTCTTCATTTGCAGAATACACTTATTATATCCACACGCTTGATTGAGTTGACGACATTGTGAACTCCCAAGTTTGCAACAGCAATAATGTGTAATGTGAATTTCGTGTGCAAATATATTACATCTAATACTCCCTCGAGATGCGGCAATTTCACGTGTTGGGGTGTATGTTGACATCAGGCTTTTGAGAGTCCATGGCCTGTAATCCAAGCGAATTCAGCTTATTTCGTTGGTTGCCTATTATCTAGAGTGAGAGATGCAGTATCCGTAGCACACTATGTGCCCCAGGTTCGAACTTCGCGAATTTGTTGCATCGCAAGCGTAGAATTCTTAAAATTTTGCTAAACATGAACTGAATGCTTCGATTTCTTCGGTGACGGGATTAACCAATACATGAGTTACTCTCGACGTTGACATGAATCTCTCTCATCTGCTGCACCAATGACTAACTTCTTCTAATTTTCCATGCCTTTAATAGGTCTCCAATTTGCTTATGAAGATGACAACTAGTTCTCCGAGTGCTCTTGTGCGAGCAAAGTCCACACTTGCTTTAAGTCAAATAATGAATGAAATGGAGGTTTTAAATACCTGATCAGCGTTTGATAGTGAGGCTGATGACACTGCTGTGATCACTATAGTGTTTTGCTTTCACCAGAAGACTTCTCACAGTAGCTCAAAAATGTAGCTGAATTCACCACAAGACATGGTAATGAAATAGGGATGAATGGAACAGTTCAACCTAGGAGACGATCCCTGGGATCTGCCACTGCCCGAAACTCCAAAAAAAATAACTGAGCAGCGATAGATAGGAATTGAAAGAGGCCAGTTTTTACACCATTTACTCTTGTAATTGTAGCAATAATGAAGGAAAGAGAGGTGTCTTGGATGCTAAAAGGTAAAACTATCCCTAGCCCACACCAGGTAAACGAAAGTACATTAGAATCGATTGCCGGAAGAGAAAGCTAAAAAAGACACGGCCTTGTGCCAAAGAAAACGAGTGTCATGATACTTCAGGCTCTTTGGCTTCTTCAGTCTCTCCTACTTCTTCAGTCCCCAAGACCTGAGCACCATTGTCCGCATCAGTAATGTCGGCTGACTTCTCCTCTTTGCCTCGATATCCCATGAGACGATACTTTCGATCAGACCTGGTCAAAACAAGCCTAAAACCTTAAATGGGACATAAAACTAATAATAATAATAATAATAATAAACAGAGGATTAAGAGTTTTTGCGGAGGACAGACAGTTACATACGAACGCACAATTATTGAGGCTTACTCAATACAATAGCAGTTTCCTGCTGGAAATGATTGTCATAAACCAAGGACCTCAACAGTATTCCTTGCAATTCTTGTGAATTAGCTTTCCACATTCAGCCGAAAGCTGTCAAATGATTTTACAATTCTCTGAACATATCACAGATTCCAGAGTGTAAATAAATAAAGTATACGCCAAAAGACTGCACCTGAAGCCAATTAGCCAGAAGAATTGTCTTGCAATTGGTGGTGGGAACACAGCAAACCCTGACGGACCACCCTTCTTCTTAATCTCCTGCACAAGGTAACTCTCAGGCATCAAAGGAAAGTTTACATCTCGGCTTGGTGATGAATGCACTACCTTTACTATATAACGATAAATCGTTAGAGGCATACAACGAAACCAGAACTGAACTTTTCCTTAGGAGCTAAAAGTAACTCGAAAGGTGCTTAATTTTTAACAACGCGTGGGGTCATTATGAAGCAAACTGTTAATATTTGGTGTTAATGAACAAGTGCGCCTGAGGACTTCTACAACAAATAAAACAAAATTTTCAAAATAGATCATTTTCATTTTAAAAGTCAGGGAAAAAGAAGTAAAAAATCCACAAGAAGTGACATTGTCATCCGAAATGAACTTGCAATGGAGTTCTAAAAGGGAGAAGAAAACCTGCACAAGTCGTTTGACGATCCGTCGTCCAATACCTTGCTTCTGATACTCCGGATCAACGGCTACGTCACAAATTGTAGCCTGAAACAAAGAACAGAAAATTATGTGGGTACAACCAGATCTCTGCAAAACTCCCACAAAATATCTGAGTTTGTGAAACGTACTCTAAAATTGAACAGGAATTTTTTAAAAAATGAAACAGAGACAATAGGGCCAACATATGAACACATACAATGAATGAACCATCAGATACTGCGCGCCCAATCCCTGATCCGCGTTCAAAAGACACCACCAGAAACAGAGTGAAGAGGATTTCCAGCAACCGTTACTTCCGATGTCTTAAAATAGCACAGCATCACAACACATAAAATTATTTATCCTCAAATTCTAAAAAATATTTCCTTTCGATTCCAAAGCATCATTTTAAGGATACGAATGAGATTGAAAATGAAGAATACCAACGACTTTCGGAGTAGATCTCAATCCTAGGTCATCTTTCTCCTGTTCTGCCAGCACAATCACAAACTGCAGCATTCAAGCTGCAAAATAAATTTATCAAACACTCTAAGCAACAATATATTATGTGCAAAAATCAGTCTTTAATAGTGCTTGTTACTCTCTATGACAAGCACACGTCCATTCCTTTCCGACAGCATTTAACAAATCGGGTCCAAGTTCATTCTCACAACCAGTCAACTATATACAATGAAGCTCAACTGAAGAACCTGGGATACCAAGAAGTACCAAGAAGGCAAGCTGTCTTGAGCTTACCATGAAGCTGTGCCGAAGTGCTTTCATGATTTTCGAAGGTTCTCTAGTAACCATCAGCGTTTTTTCCCAAAGTTCACTAAGCTGATTATCCAAACCCATGAAGTTAACACCTTATAGAAGTATGAATTACAAGTTAAACAATCAAAGTCCATATAGTATGGCATTGACACCTAGTGCAAAATGTCGCTCGCATCTGCATAATGCAATCACACAAGATTTTGTACACATGACGACCTGAAGAAAGTGTCTAACAAAATCAATGCAAAATCAATATGAAGTAACACATCGCTTGCCTAACCCCTCCCACTCCTCTCTCTCTCACGAATTCTACCGAAGAAGTAAAGTCTGAAATATATCTAACCAAAAATGTGGACATGCGGATACATTGATACGTTTGACGGGACAACGATATGGAATTGAGTGCGTTTGAATTGAAGGGATGAACTCATAGAACACCATTTACATTTCCCATTTCAATTTCACAATGAGCAAATGGGAAGAGAGTGGCAGCACCTGAACCGGATCAACGTCGGCAAGATTAGTGCTGTATACAAGTGGTCGAGGTATTCGTATTGGCCATAAGGGCCTTGGCGATTGAGGCAATGGGGTAGAAGCCAAAATAATTGCACCTCGCTGCAAGATTACAGAAGAGGGTGAGATATGGTACATGGAAGCATGAAATTGCTAAATGGATTAGAACACACAAAGTGATACTTTAAACGATATTGCTCCGTAATACTGAGACTATAAAAATTTAACCCCCAACCGACGAGGTCGTTCCACAAGTTGCAAAGTCCCTCATTCTTAACGCCACAAATGTCAATACCACTAAAACCTTACACGTGTTGCGAATCCAATTTCGCTTCAGAATATATTCGATCTGAGCGACAAGACAAGGCAATCGGAGCTACTATGGAAAGGTGTGGATATGCTTCATTATGACAGAGTTTTCAGATTAGGGATTCGCTATTGGCACTTTTCACTTAGGTCTCGCAAACTTCCTCTAGCTCTGATCGAACTCAGATTGCAAGCAGACCTGAATTCTTAATCCTGAATGGTATGGTGGAAAAATTAAGCTGAACATGAGGCTACGAAAGTCGAGCTCTTCACAAATTCGACTTGAGCAACTCTCAAATTAAATGCTTTTATCCTAATATAAAATTGTTGAGATAGCTGCTGCAGACATAGACGGATCCAAGTGCAGTCATATCCATAGGACCAGACCAAAGGGATCTCAGGGAAAAGCAACGAACCGAGCTCTTCAATTGTGAAGGAGTTGCAACTTGTCTTCGAACAGGCACGAATCGAGACAACGACACATCACAGGAGCAACAGCATCGCAGACGACCCGACGAGAATTGGAAGCTGCACCCAGGGACCGGACGCGCCATACTGAGCTGCATCGTGGTAGACGTATTCCCAAACCACAACGCACAATCACTCACGACCAAGGCTGCAATGACGCTCAGCCTAAACCCGAGCGCGCACCATGCAATCACAAGACTCAATCCGAAACCTTGCCAACACAACAACTCCACGAAACGAGACCACCTCAACCAAAAAAGCTACGTCGAAATCCATAGATTTCTCGTGGTGATTGTAAAATTCGAGCTAGATTCTCGGCCAGTTAAACACAATAACCAGATGCCAACAGCCTCGATTGATGGCACGTGAGAGTTAGATTCTGCTGATGCAATTCACGGACTGCTAAGAGCCGCAAAATGAGATCCTAGTCCTCGTCGAAGGCAAAACCTTATCTGCGCTCTAACCTCCGTTTTCTCAACGCCGTTGCGAAGAATAAGGATGAATGTTGTATTTCATTCGTCACATCATTAATCATTCATCTTCATTTTGGATGATGGATTGAGCTGAAATTGTCTGGAACCTCTTTCACACTGCAGAGTTCAATCAACACACACACACGCACTCTATTCGTGACATATTCTACCTGCCAGATGAGAACACTTGTTGAAATAACAATAAATGGCAGGTCAGCTTCTGACCCCTACAAGAAAGATTGTATTCTTATCAACAACGGTGATGAGAGTGACAAAAATGTATAAGATGGGACATTTTGACTCAGTTAGGGTTTGCATATGTTTTGTTGGCTCTTGTTCTTTCATTGCAAAGACGTGTATTTCCATGAGGATGTAAAGTCTTTGTAAGAATGTTGCATGTTGTTACCATTTCCTTTGGAGATTGATTTGGGCTTAATGCTTTCTCTACATTATGTTTCTCCTTTGATTGTGCAACATCAAAAAATAAAAAAAATCAAGAGGTGATGTGCAAATTTTTTAACACTTGGGTGAACATAAATATAAAATTCATTTTTTGTAATCATACAATTTTACACTGTCAAAGAATAATTTAGTCTGAAAAGTGATTATCTATTTTGAGAGTATTGAAGGAAAAAATATTTTGGCATTTTGAAGTAACATTGCCTCTCTCAAAATGTTGAGGGTGGATGTAGACAAAGTTTCTTTAAACATGATTGTAACAAGGCATATGAATTGTTTAGTATCTGTATGACAAACAAATAACAATGGGACTAATTTTACATATCAATTAGAATAATTTTGAAGTAAACGTAACTTTAAAAAGTATTCTAGAACCTGAGCATTCATGAGTGGTTTTGTAAAGAAACAAAAGTGTACGTCTAGTAGTATATTATAATGGAGCCAACATCAAATTTACCAAAATGAATACTTTCAAGATTACTAGTTTTTCAACGAATATTAAGAAAAAGATAATGACACAACTAAGCAAGAATACATATACAGAAATGTCACCATGATCAAGTCCAGCAACATGTGTTCGACATCAGCTTGAAGTGCACTTCAGGTTACAGTCAATAGAATTTCAAGTGCTTCGCATCCTCAACTTCTAAGTTTTCGTGAAATTCGTTCTTCTCATTTCCACAGTTGATTTCATACCTTCTGCATGATTAACTTTGAATACCAGATTGTCGGTAACGGTCAAAATCATGAGGAATCGTCTCTCCAGCATAGGACGACTTATTGTAGCTTACATGTTGATTACAACAGATCGATCGATCTAAGTGTTTAGAAGTCATTCTATTATCAATTGAAGGTTCGGTGGACCTAAATCAAAGCGGTAGCACACAAACTCGTGACGCTTACCATGTTCGGGAAACTTTGAGTCAATTAGACGCTACGTGGATCGTAAACGTAGTAGATCCATTGCTCTTTGATCGGCATCCTTCAAATTAATGCACAATGCAATGTATGTAAAACTTAAATGTGCTATTCACGACCAAAGAATTTAGAACGTACATGCACAAGTTTGACAGAAAGTAGGTATTCAGTAGCAGGAACAAATTCTCTTACACAAATTGGACCTCAGATTCAGAATGGATCGCCTGAAACAAATGCGCTGAAGTTTCTCCAAAGAAAACTTTGGTAAACATGATATGGAACAAACAATCCAAAGTCCGAGGAAGGCTTGAAAGAACTGTCCTGCAAATGCTCAGGGAACCACCTCATCTAATGAAAAACGTCATGCAGTTCCCGAGGCTATTGTAGGAGTGTCCTCTCAAGTCTTTCTCAGACCTAGAGAGTGTCTCAAGAACTTTCATGGGTTTGCAAGGTGGTCTGCTCTATTATGTACAACTCGTTTGGTTCCGGCGGCGGCTTGATATTGGCGCGGTCCCCTGCTCCATTACCACCAACGCAACAGAAGCCAAGCATGATGTCTGGAAACAAAATCGGGCACCGCAGATAATGGAGATCAGATTTGAAGCTATGTCTTTATCAACTGTAGTGAATGGCATCAGAATACCGAAAATAAAGCTTGAAATCGGTCGATAAAAGGATACGGCCAATTGAAAAGAACTAGTCCAAACGTGCTTATCAGAACGTTCCCCTCGATGCATTTGAATCTCTTTAGAGTAAAGGAATAATCATCGATAGAAGACAATGGAAAAAATTAAAAGAGAAAATATGCCAATCCATTAGGATCGAAATAATCCGTGGCTCAGACAAGCATGTGGTCTGACTATCTTCGTTTTCAAACCGCAGGATGTCCGAACTAATTTTCTGTATGTTACGAGATTGAAGTCCAATCTAGGGACAAGCAGAAGACAGTCTCTTCTGCTTATAGCGTACACAATTTGTCATGTATGGTGTTGAAACATTTCGAGAATCACAACAAGTTGTTGCTCGCAAGTACAAATCTGTTCGGTGAAGTCATAATGAATTAGAAAGAATACATCATTCCTGCCACGCATTAATTAGCACCAAGGCTGCTGATCATTTTTCTGCCTTGGCAAGATTCAGAATTGCAGATTTTGTGTGATCTTTCCACATTCAAGGTTGACCGAAGTGGTCTAATATACAGGACGTGGGTGCTGGCGTGGGGTTAATTCCTTGAGGACCATTTCGCCCTCTCTGTTATTACCTGTGCAATCGCCAATCCCTTCTTGATGCAGTTTCAGTGACTTATCGTAGAAAATTTGCGAAGGGATATGCATAACCCTGCCCCTTCAACTCCACCAAAGTGCAGCCAGACACAATAACTGGGCCTTTGCACTCTGGCGGATACGGAATGTGGAAGAAGAGAGGGGTGTTATCCCCCGCACCCGCAGGTTAGTTCCCAGTAAGTGCGCACGAAGCTGCTTGAATTGAGTTTTCCTTCTTATCCTACTGTAATATAGTAATATAGACTTGATGCGATGAATGATCTATATTTTTGTTGTCTCGTTGATGGAGCTACCAAAAGGCGGTCGCCGCAGTGCTCATATCGAATTGATCAACACAATCTGCGGCATCTTCTGCCTAAACTTGTCACAACCAGCTTCATACAACTATTGGTCATATGACATCAGCTTCAACTGTAATACCCGTCAAAAATTTCATCAAGAACTAGCCGATTGGATCAATGGATGGCTATCTCTGGGGAAGTTCTGAAAAAAATATTGCAGTCTCATTTCGAGATTAAATAGACTAATTCCAGAAAATGAAGAATCCGTTAGTTCAGTGAGCTTGCGGATTCAAAGTAACATCTAGACGAAGTGAAATAAAGAAGAATAACCACATTATATTTTTCTTTTTTCCCTCTGTTCAATTGCGACAAGTCCACAATCACTGTCGCACTAAAATGCTTTTAGACCGCAATGGTCGGTTTCGTAGAGCAAAGGAACAGAATCTTAAAAAGTGACCCGATCCTATTACCTTGTCGTCCTGAGGTTAGCCTCTTATAAGCAGTTGCAGCAACAACAGACCGGCTAACCTAATGCATACCGAGCAAGGACATTCTAGGAATCGTGGTAACAAAAGATGTTATTCTTGGTCCTGAAGACACATGAAACGATCGAACTTTGTTAAGAAACAAGACACATCGAGCCAATTTTCATAACACTTCGTAAGGTTCCATTGACACAACTTTCTTCTCTCTTATAATTACAGTCAACCTTGCAGCATGTTGCATATGTAACGTCCATCCTCAACAAGTTCACATAACGTCTTCTTGTGTGTAATCTTCATCAACAGAGCCAATAAATACTCCATCAGACATCAGAGCTAAGCCTCAGAGAAAAGGCACCGTCCAGTATGACAAATCGCTGCATAGAAGCAAAAGTGGCTATAAAATTTACATTAACAAGCTGTTTTCCACTTTTACAACGAAGCCTTCACCTAGCCACTGGACTTGCAATAATGTTTGTAAGAAACACTGAGCGATGGCTCCTCTTGAAACTTCCCCTCTGCAAAATCACTACCAATATTACAAATCCAGTGTCCACCAACCAGTGGGACCATCGACGGTGAAAGATTTCGTTACGGTGACAGGGTCTTGCCCTTAAACCGTGAATGAACAGAGGGGTCATCGGTGGATAGCTTCAGGTTTAAGCCACGGCTGTCGTTGATTGATATGGCGCTAAATCCTAGTCATCGCATACGATTCCCGCGCAATTCCTTCACTCCCTCCATCAATCCAACGACTGTTTTGAAGTGGCTTCGCATTTCGATTTGAGTTCGGATTGCGCTCATGGTTTGGAATGCAGGGTTCAGTCAATTTCACGCTGCAATGCGTCGAAATCGAATCGACGGGAGTCGCTGATGACAAACGTGAAATTTGTTGTGGAGCTTGACGGACAACTTTTAAGATGGAGGAGAGAATGAAGCGTTTACATACATGTGAGATTTTTCACTTTGAATAGTGGATTGTACTAAATCTCTGGATAATTTTCTCCCGAAATCATTCTAGCAATTATTTTTGTCAATGTGTGGATGTTCGGTGATCTACTTCAATCTCTCACAGTCCCTGAAGTGGCGGTTGAAGGGGATTGTGTCATGCAAGCGTTAGGAAGAATTGTACATTGTACCGTTTTCGGAATCTTGGGAGAAGTATTGAGATGATTTTTTTGTGTTTACAGGACGAGATTGAGCCATTCGATGTGGCATTTTCTGGTGAACGAAGTAACGCTCAAGTGATTCTTTGTTTCTGAGATGGTGCTGGATGCCATGCGACAACTGGCATGAAAACATTCAAACTTGAACGGAATCATGGCCGATGGGGAGGATTTAATTTCTTATCAAATGGAAGTCAAACCCTGATTTTGTGTCATATCGGCCGTTGGCTGTTTCTGTCGGTTCTTTGACGTGCTTTGGAAGTGATTTACAATGGCAGGTGAAGAGAAAGAGGAAGAATCGCTCAAAAGAAAAAAAGTGGACAATGTTCCGCGTGGCATGGCATGGGGAGCTCAATCCTTTGCTTCTGCAAGAATCAGCAGCATTCGCGAGAAAGATCCCTCGAGCGTCAGTGACTTTGGCAGGTTTTACATTAATTGAAAATCGATCATATGTAGGATTGAAACTCAACTTGTAAAGCTATCAACAATTGCTGCAAGGAACTTTGTTTGCTTCTCACCCCTTTGATCATAGCCATCGTGGGACAATATTTTTTAGCAGAAATTAAGATTGGATTTAACATGAGTGTCATCAGCATTGGCTGGTTTGGTCTACATTCTCATCTGTTCCAATTACAGGAGTTATAGATCAGATTATTTTTCAGCACTCCCATTCATAGACCAGGATGTCAGAATTGATCAAGTCCAGTGGTTTCGTGTCACCTGGAAGTACTGATGCGATGACTTTCCTTGGACTCATGCTCATGGTAATCAGATACATGGCTGAAAAGCGCCGCAAGCTAAATGTGCAATATAATGAGGACTCTTCTAACAAGCTTCTCAAGTATTTGGATCGCCCCAATCTCACTTCTCTTTGCTTTTATCTTCTTCTTCTTTTTTTTTGTTTTTTGTTTTTGTGCGTAGCTTTATTGCCTGTTCATGAAATAACGTTCTTTTGGATTCAGATTATATTTGTGGCTCTTGTTTGTGTTTTTGTCGAGTACAATTCTTAGAACTAAAATAATCGCAGAGGGGTCCGTGAGTTCAGTTGTTCTTGAACATCTTTTTGCAAGTGGCAGACGTTTTTACTGCGTCGTAGTCTTGAATGGGTACATTGTGTCTTTAGCTCACATTGTCTCGGACTTTTTTATGTCAAACTTCAGCAATGCGACAGCGGCTGTTGCAGCGCTACATTCAAAGGAGGGGCAAATTGTAGTCGCTGAGATTTCAACCAAGTCACGCATATTCAATGGAATTTCAATTTGGGTGGACGGTTTCACTGTACCTACTCATCAGGTTTGAATTGCGTACGCAAGGCTGTATACGATAACCTTTTTAGTTTATCCTCAACTTAATCATGACCCTTCTGAAGCATGTTTCTCAGTTTATAACCTTGCTTTGCAGGAGCTACGACATCTAATGCTACAATATGGAGGTGTTTTTGAGAATTACTTTAGAAGGGAGCTTGTCACTCACATCATTTGCAGCACTCTTCCTGATAGCAAAATTAAAAATCCAAGGTGTTCAAGGGTTTATTATGAAATGGTCACTTTGAGGTCATCTGATTGGAAAGTTGCAACTGTGTATTTTCTTGCTGATTTGAAAAAAAAAAAAAAAAAAAAAAAAAAAAGGTTTTTTGGTCGTCGATCTTGGCATTGACTTGGAAACGAGTTGGTTTTCTCTTCGTTTTGTTTCTCACATACGGGGACAAGTGCTCAAAGCTGGCATCTCATCTGCAGATCCCTCAGTCGAGGTTTGCCAATAGTAAAACCAGAATGGATCGTGGACAGCATAGCTGCAGGCCGAGTCCTATCTTGTAAGAGATTTCCTTTGTAATATTCTGAAATCCGTTTTGTTTCCCCTGTTTTCAGACCACTCTTTTTAGCCGCATAACCTTGCACCGGAGCTGACGGGCGTTTGTTTAGCTCTTTTACGCTTAACTTAATTTGAGATTTCGTAATCCAGATCTTGTGTAGATCGTTTTATCTGTTTCACTGTGAAATTAAAGACAGTGCAATATTATGGTAATTATCACTTGCAGGGGCTCCATATCAACTCCAAAGAATAGCATTGGAACATCCAAATCAGCGTACTCTGCAGTCGGCATATTTGAATCCCAAACTCGATCACTGCCCTCTTCCTCTTGACTGGAGGGATAATTACCCAACATATTCAAACATGATGGACATAGACTTAGAACCCCGATCGGAGCTGCTAGCACTTGAAAATGTTCCAACGTCAGACAACCAAGGTCCATCTTCTGTACAAGGTTAGTCACACGAGAGTCCATGATATTGTTGTGTACGTAAAAATGCTACCGTTCCTGTGCGATTTTAATTGAAAAGAGATTTTGAATACTTCAACTAGTTATTGTATCACTTCAGCTGTTGTTTCAATTTATCCTTAACGCCCTGTGGGTTTCTTCAACTCTAGCTAACGTTTATGCGACGCAACTTGCTATTACAATTTGTATGTTTTCGGTCTCTGAGCCACGGCACCTTAGTGCACAACTCTCAAGTGTCGTCTCTAACTCTAACAAGTTTTGGACACATCCGACTTTCGATCTGACACTTCCGTGTTTTTGAAGCCTCCTCTAGCTAACAATACTCACTGCTGAGTTTAGAAAATTTAAGCAGCAGACTTGTTCAAGATCATCACGGTTTTGTTTACATTCCAACAGATGGAGCTGTTAATTTTACCCTTTTGGAGGAGGACCTGAAAGGCATTGAAGTGAAAGCTGATGAATGCTCTGAGACTGAAAACCAAGGAGTGCTCGAGTCCCACGGCAAGAAAGACAGTGTAGCTATTGTAGACAGAAGTAAGCGAAATACCGGCGCTGGCTACTCAGATGCCGCTGCTGCTGCGACTCACTCAACGTTGGGAGACGATAATTTTGTACAAAACTACTTCAAGGCAAATCTAATCGCACCTTAACCAATCAAACGACCATAGTAATGGATAAATATTTTTGGTGTATTTGCGTATTATTTGTTGTCTTTGAATGACCATCTTAAAATTAACAAGCTTGCTTGTGGTTGGTGATTGATTGCAGTCTTCTAGACTTCATTTCATAGGAACATGGCGTAACCGTTACCAAAGTCGGTATGGGTCCTTCAACGATAATAGTGAAGGTCAAGACCAACAAGTTTTTAGAGCTAAATCAGGAAGTGATCCTGCTGTCATCCACATCGATATGGTAAACACTAAGACAATCACAGACATCCTCATGGCATGGCTTGTCGCTGAACATCAATTGTGATTTTCTCTGAGTATTATGAAATTCGCAGGACTGCTTCTTTGTGGCTGTGGTTGTGAGAGACCGACCTGAACTTCACGACAAGCCAGTTGCTGTCTGTCATTCTGATAGTGTACGCGGTAGTGGAGAGATATCATCTGCAAATTACCCAGCAAGAGCTTTTGGTAAGCTGTTGTAGTTTTATAGCATGATTGTTTCATTGTTATCGTTTATCATCTCAGAATACCGAAGTTGCAGCGTGTCCGTTAGGTGAGATTTTCCAGTGGATAAAAGTGTGTTTGTGACCTTTTCCTTGTTCTTGCCTTAACTTGCCGAAAGTGGCTTAAACATTTGACTCTCAATTTCCAGGAGTTCGGGCAGGCATGTTTGTGCGTGATGCGAAAGCAAAATGTCCTGACCTGGAGATAGTACCCTATAATTTTGAGGCTTATGAGCAGGTTCACATCTCTGTATTGCATTATAAATGTTATAATGGCTTCTCATCGCCCATTTTAGCTTCGCCATGTGTGACAACAAGTGTGTCTTTTAGTGATCTGCATCCGGTTTACTTCTTGCAAGGTTATTGAATGGTTGAGTTTATAACATGGTTAACGGTGACTTTTTCTGCAATGAATGGCGTGCATATTTAAGTATTGACTTTGTTCTTGTTCTGTTATTTCAGGTAGCTGATAAGGTATACAATATTTTGCATCACCATTGTGGCAGAGTACAGGCAGGCTTATTACTTCATCTTCGTACAATATGGGTGATATCTGCATGACGTTCATAGAGGTGTCAATGTGGTGTTCATGGTTGGCTTAAATATTCTGTCTGGGTTTCAATTTTGAATTGATATTTTGATATGTCTACGTTGTCACTTCTACAAGGTTTAAATTTTTTTCCACAATTGCGCAGGCTGTTAGCTGTGATGAGGCCTTTTTGGACGTCACAGATCAAGGGGACCCATGCCAAATTGCATCAGTGATAAGGAGCCAGATTTTTGAAGCAACCCGGTGCACTGCTAGTGCAGGTGTCTCAAAGAATAAGTTGTTAGCACGTCTGGCCACACGAAAGGCCAAGCCCAACGGTCTATACTACATTGCACCCTCAGAGGTAGAGGGATTCATGGATGAGCTCGCCGTGGAGGATCTTCCTGGTGTTGGATGGACGTTAAAGGAAAAATTAAAATCTCACAATCTTCACAAGTGCTCTGATCTGCTAAGAGTTTCAAAGGTAGATGACCTGTCTGATGTCCATACCCCTGATGAACATGAAGCATTATAATGTGGCGGAAATTAAGTTTGTTAGCTTGAGGCAGGACTTTTTGCAAAGGGAATTCGGTGTGAAAACAGGAGACATGCTGTGGTCTTATGCACGAGGAATTGATACTCGTGAAGTTCAACAAGCTCAGGTTCTTTACCCGTGCCCTTTCCTCTGATCCACGATACTTTCAAAGGATTTGTGCATGCAAAGGGGTCGCAGGGAATGCTGGTTTTTGATATGAATTTCATTTTTCGGCTCTTTTTCACATAGTTCTGATTGTTGATGTGGTACACAGCAGCGAAACCTGTAAACGGAACATCATCTACTTTTTTACCTATCATGTTTGCAATGATGTTTTAATACTGGAACTAGATAATTACCACAAGACAATGTCTGTATCCTTTGCACCATTTAATCATGTTTTATGGCTGGAATTAGTGTTTTTTACCTGAACAGTCTGAGCTATTCGACTTCAGTTCAGTTTCTGATGACACTCAAACTACATTCTTGCAGATACGCAAGTCAATTGGTGCGGAAGTTAACTGGGGTGTTCGTTTTCTTGTGCCTGAGGATGTAAGTATATGTTCGTGTTCGTACGTGGACTAGGTTGCAAGAAAACGTAAGTGGATTTTCTTGGCGGTTGCATGCTGATGTAGTGGTGAAAAGCCATACTTCACAGACCGAAAATAATGTGGGCTTGCCGTGGTTAGGCTCATCGTTTTTTGGTAACGTTAAGCACAGAGGTCGCGACACGCTTACAAACTGCTGCTGTCAAAGGTCGCACTATTACCTTGAAGGTATTTGAGTGAGATTTTAATTCTGCGATTTTTAACTGTCTTGTAGCTTCACACCTTATTGTATCAACTTTAATGCACTGCTGGGCTTTATTCCTGTTTTTAGTCCTAGACCAATTCGAAGTCCCAAGTTCTTCTGCACCTTTGCTTACACGCAGTAGATCCAACGTGTAGTTTAACTGTCACCTTTTTTAACATCATTGTGTCCATTTTCATGTTTAGGTGAAGAGACGGAAAGAAGGCTCTGGGGAGCCTTCCAAATTCATGGGTTGTGGAGTTTGTGACAACTTCAGTCGTTCTGAAACGGTATGATACCCTCAATTTCATTACCGACTTTGTCATTTGTGTTTTTATTTATTTATTATCTTGCTTTAATGCTTTGGAGTTGAATCCCTGGTGCATGTATTCAGGTTGGATACGCTACTGATTCTCAGGAGATCCTACTTCGTGTGGCAAAACAACTTTTCAACTCTTTTGCATTCGGTATGTTCTTTGATCTCATACTTACCGGCATGCTTCACAGTTCAGAAAGGAAAATTGTGTGTTTTTTGGATGACTTTTACATTGATTGTCCTGCAGATGTGCGTGATGTCCGTGGGGTAGGTTTGCAAGTCACAAGGCTTGAAGCAGTTGGTTCTGGCCAGTCACTGAAAGGTGCGTTTAGTTTACGAATGCTATTTAAAATTCCTGACTAGTAGCTCATGTAATATGCTCAACATCCTTATTCCAACTCCTTAGGTTTGGGGCATGTATGGGCATTCTGTGCAAAGCACTTGCCCTGGTAACTGATACTTTCAGCTTGGCCTTTCTCATCGATATTTCTTTGTAAACCTCTAGTTTGACGGACACTAGCCGTTTCCAATGGATTTTAAATGTCATTCTGTTCGAAGTAATAGTTACTTCATTCAAATATCCATTGCAGGTGGACAAGGCCAACAGCGTGCACTGAAGTCATGGTTAGCTCCTGAGATCAGCAAAGTAATGCTGGATGAAAGTGCTCCTGCGGATCGTAACTCAGGCAATCAGACAATCATACACAGAAGCACTGAGCCACTCAAGACAGAGGCTGGGGAATCGATTCCTGTCAAAAGTCCAGCTTTAGATGTTCCGAAACTACCTCTCAATACATCAGCGCAAGACAATAATGATTTACATGCAGGTATACCTTCGTCCAACTTTTGGCTCACAAAATCTAGTTGGTTAGGAAGAACTTAAGTAGCCAAGTTACAAGTTGTGTATTAAAAGTTACAACTTCTTGGTGAGTAACTCAAATCGAGTTAGTATGTACTTACTGCATGAATTATTTGTATCAAAAAGTAAGACGTACAAGCATCGTTGTGGTCGTTCTAGCAACTTTATGGTTTTCTTAATTCCGCATTTAAAACTTGCCATTCCTCTGAGTCATTTCCACTGGAATATCACCCTAAATCCCCAGTGTTCACAGCTGCGGAATCTGGTATGAGGAATTTCATTGCACCAGATACGAAGGATCGCATTCAGGTTGGGAGGAGTTCAACAAAAGCTGCACCACCTCCAACAAACTTACCCCCGCTCTCTGAATTAGACCCCTCTGTTTTAGCTTCACTTCCGCCTGAAATTCTGGCTGAAATTCGAGAAGTTTATGGGGAACTCGCAGCCCAGCCTGTGGTCTCCAGTAAGCCTGCAAAAAATTATTTATCTCCTGTGGCAGTAATGAAGGGTGCCCATAAAACTAAAACATCTGAGGTAAGTAATAGAGTGGACAGAAGAGAAGATGGAATTAGAAGGGTTTTACCTTTGGAGCCCTTGACTGAACGAGGAGAATCTTCACGGCCACCTTCAGTCCGCCCCGAAATAGTAGCACTTCCACCAGCATCACAGGTAATGAAGTGGTGGGAGATTGTTTACAAAACTGAGAGGTGCTGTTTAAATTCGCCGATGGATTGGTACTACTATATTGATCGTGTCATGATTTCTAGGTGGGATTTAAAGTTTCAATGACGAATGGTAATCAAGATCTGGTTCGTGTGGCTGCAGTTGGATCCCTCAGTTATGTCTGCGCTCCCGCTGTCTTTGCGAAGAGAGCTTGAGCAAGAATATAAGCGACAGCAGGTGAAGAAGCCTGATAAGTCGACATTGCGCGTGAGTGAACCGGAAAAGCTCTGCGTTGAGAGATGTTCATCAACTTCACTTGAAGATCTTTGGACTGGTACACCACCTAAGTGGGTACACATGTTCAAAGAATCCCAAGATGCAGGTGAGAGCCTTTGCCTTTCTGTATGTGAGATTGGTCTTTGGATGGCTTGAATATGAACTGCTGTAATTCATAGAATCTGGCGTAGTAAGAGCTTTCGGTACATATTTGTTGTCTAACATCGATTTTGTGCATCTTCTCCTAAGCATCAACTTCAAAAAATAAATCTTTGCAGAATTTAGCAACTTGTGCGTGCTAGCGGAGCACATGGCAGGTGCAGTCAGACCGTTTTCAGTTGTAATGCTGTCGGTTCTCCCTCATCTTTCGAATGCATGTTCTGCAACAGTAAGCCAGAAAGTTATTCAAAGTTGTATGGAGTTGATTAAACAGTATGTTCAACAAATGATAGCGTGCGACTTGGAGGAAGTTTGTATGATAATGCGTGTGCTAAAAAGAGTTGCTGCCAAGTCTCAACTGTGGAGGGTTGTTGAGGATCTCATTACTCCCTTCGTTCAGGTATTGCTGATGACCTTGAAATACCCTTAGCAATCTAAAAGCTATGGCAAGTGTGTGGTTAGTATATTGCGAAACTGCAATTTTCACGCATTGATCAACACAGGGTCACCTACTTCAAGCAGCATGCAGGATACCGCCTTCCAAATCAGTGACTTATGTCATCGTTGTAACCTAATTATAGAGGTTGTCGGTTGATTCTTTTTGTAGAATACTCTACCGTTGGTTTTTGTTGTATAGTCTGGTCCTTACTTTCTGAGTTTATTTTCTTCACTTCAGGGTATTGTTGGAGAGTGTTATGGAGGTCACCTCAAAATCTAACAAGCAACAGGTGCTGCTCTTAATAATCGCCAACACATGAAAATATCTTCAGCCTCCAGAGCCTTTTGTTAGAAGCATACATTAAGTCCTAACATCAGGAAGAAGCAAACACTTGTTTCAAAATCTTAGCCTTAGATTCCTTGTTAGAGAAATTTTCGACAGTATTCCTTCACCTGAGTTTCAGGGAATTGTAACATCCCAATGTGCTGGAAAGACATAGTGACGTACACTTTGTTTTCCAAAGTTTCATCGATTTTGGACAGAACTCACGATGTCGCAATCACCAGCATAGATTGATAGGTTTAACTGAAGCATGGATACATTTGATGATAATCATGGGTAAAGGAGATAGTGGTGTGTCATCCAAATGGGATGACACTGCAATAGAGATGGCAACCGAGTCAGGAGAGACAAAAGAGCAATGTTTCATTTATTTTTGACGGCTTCACAAAAAGCCAAAGCCAAGTAAGATTTGTACCAAAAGCTCCAACATGGGAGTTGTTCGCACTTTCATACAACCTGTCATAGTGCAGCATTTGCGAGTGGATTGCTACGCAACGGTGGAGGTAATTTTACTGAGCAGCGTAGTGTTGAGATCCTGTTAATGGTTTTGGAGTTCTTTGACCAGACTTAAGAACTTTTTTGGCGGGGTGGCTTGCATCGTGAAAATCAACTATGAACACTAACCGACACTGTTTGCATTTTTGAGTTGAATTCCGTCTTGAACGAGAACCCGATTCTTCATTGTTTATACATGTCGAAGTGTTAGAAAATGTTACTACACAACAAAGCCAGGTTCCTATCATCGGCACCTCCGTGATAGGCACCGACAGCTTTCTACCAAGTTCTTTCAGCTTCCGTCAATCAAGCTGTGGGCAACACCTTGTCAACATCTTACACTGCATGTAAACTCATGTTCATTTAAAACCATTGCGTTAAGGTTTTAGAGAATCAGTGTGTCAAAATGAAAGTAGAGACATCGCATCATGTCATTTTGTGTCATTTTGTGAACATAAACGAGTACCCCAACTGGGTCCATTCAAGGGGAAGGGTTTCGCCGCGTTCGTCTCGCATCTTCTTCGTCTGTATGACCTCGTTCGTCTTTTTCACTCCGTTCGTTCGTTTGTTCATTCGTTCGTTCTTTCTTTCGTTTCTATCACCCAGTTTGTTGCAACATTGGGTTTTCCGTCGGCATTTTCATTTCCAGCACCCTCATCTCCGCATTCAAGGATTCGCTCTAGTATTCTGTTTTAGTCGAGGAAGGTAGTATTACGCATCGGATCACTGTGCTCTAGGCCTGCTGCAGGTGGAGTTTCCTGGATTGCAGCGATGGAGTTCGTAGGCGGGACGGCAGCCACAGCCCTCAGAAGCGCAAGCAATGGCATTATGCAGTGTGCAGGCCAACTGGGCACGAGCTTCAATGGCAGAGGTCCTTCGAGGAGCCAGCGCAAGGGATCTGTGGTGATCTCAGCGAAGAAGGGGAAGAAGAGTGGCGAACATGAGTACCCATGGCCAGAGAAAATGGGGGAAGTCTATCAGGGCGAAATTACTGATGGGGCTCTGAAATTCTTGAACCGCTTCAAACCTTTGCCGAATCCGCCGAAGCCTGTAACTCTTCCTTTCGAGAGCCCTATTGTGGACCTTCAGAACAAGATTGATGAAGTGAGGCGCTCTCCTTGACCTAGTTGTGTTTCTGGTACTCTGCCTTTTTTGGTCCGTCTTTCTGTCTCTCAACTGCTCCATATCCCTCCTAGAAGCAGTCATTCGATGAATTCGTAGCCATTCTAAATTTCACTGTTAATAATGTATGGGTTTGGAGCTGTGCGATTTTCAGCACTGGCCTAGCACTGCAAGATTTTATGTGCGTCTGATGATAGCCCTAGTATCTGAAGTACGGATTACTGTGTTAATTGATTTCTGAATTTCTTTGCATGGCACTCTATCTACGCGACCATTGGATGGGAACTAATTTATTCCTATGTTGTAATGTGACAATAGGTTCGGGAGCTTGCGAACAAGACAGGCATGGATTTTACTGATCAAATTGCTGAGCTCGAAGAGAGATATAACCAGGTTAGTCATTACCTTAGCTTGACCTGTTCATTTTTACTCATCAGCTAAGCAGCTAAACCAGAATCAAGCTGGTGTACACGGTGTGTACTATTTTGATTGGTATTCTAATTTCTCACTTGCGTGTTGGGTTTTAATTTTTTTGCTCTGATTTTAGGTTACTTATCTAGCTGTGATACGCGACTTTCATTGAAGTATATTCACGCAAGACCTAGAATGTCTACTTTAGATATTGGATTCTGAGATAATTATCGCATGCGTCAGCCTTTCAAGACTTTGTCGAGATGTTTAGTTCGAAGTCAAGCACCTAATAGAATGTGACACCCAGATTCGATATGCTCTGTACCTGGCTTTCTTTTTTACAATAGCATTTATTCATCGGTTTAAGGCGTCTTTCAGATTAATTTTCACTTGAATTGGGTCGATCAAATGTGAATTCTCAGAGAAGAAGATTGTTGCGAATAAGCTGGTGTTCAGTTCGGGTGTGTGTCTAATGCGTTTTCCACAACCTGTTATCGTGCTGAGCAGTTGCGTAGGGAGCTCTATGGACAACTTACACCAATGCAGCGCCTTAGTGTGGCCCGTCATCCTAACCGACCAACTGTCCTAGACCACGTCATGAATATCACAGACAAGGTAATATGCAACGTTGGAAGATTGATGTAAGCAGTGTGTGCAATCTGTTTTTGCTAGTTACAAATGTGGCAAAATATTTCGAGTTGTGCCAGAAATAAGAACTGTGGCTTCCAATTGCAGTGGGTGGAACTCCATGGCGATCGAGCTGGGTTTGATGACCCCGCTATGGTCTGTGGTGTTGGGACTATGGATGGAATGAGCTTCATGTTTATTGGTACCCAGAAAGGTCGGAATACAAAGGAGAACATCTACCGTAACTTTGCTATGCCAATGCCAAACGGGTAAGGTTTCATTTGCTTTTACATATATTACGGAGATTGCCAAAACATAATTTAATATCTCGATTCAAAAGAGATGTTAAGTTATTATTTCTCTTGTTATTACTGAGAAGCACATATTACTTCGGAGAGAGTATTGGTGGCGAACGTCCAAGCTGTTTATACATTGATTTATCTTCAACATTTTCGTACCGTAATCGTTAATTTTCTATCAGGTGTCTTAAATAAATCTCTCACATAGCTGTTCACCCTTGCAGATATAGAAAAGCTCTGCGCTTTATGCGACAGGCAGAGAAATTTGGTTTTCCTATCCTCACATTCATTGATACCCCAGGAGCATATGCTGGTATCAAAGCAGAAGAAGTTGGTCAGGTATGCCGAGCGCTCCTCCGATGATCATGAACTTCTTCATTGTTCAATTTATTCTTGCAATTTGGAAGTTCCTTGTCTTTATATTTGTTTTTGCATGACGGCTATAGACTGGTATAAACTTTACAGTGAGGGGATAATGCTCTAGCACTTTGACAGGTATTTAGCAGGGTTTACAAGCTACTCATTATGAGAATGTTGGGGCCGTGTGCAGGGAGAAGCCATTGCTTTCAATTTGAGGGAAATGTTTGGCATTAAAGTGCCCATCATCGCAATCGTAATTGGAGAGGGTGGCTCTGGAGGTGCACTTGCCATTGGATGTGGTAACAGAATGTTAATGCTTGAGAACGCAGTCTACTATGTAGCAAGGTGAAGTTAGCTGCTTTGACGAGTGTTAAGTCCATTTTCATCCTTGAGGCTTCCGAGTATGTTGATGATCTTTTATCCTTGGTTATGATATCCTCAACACTTTCGCGACCGATGGCACTATCAGTTGGGGCCCTCCAGCTAGTTCAAATTTTGATTGACATGCCTCTGTTGTATGGTAAGGTCTACGAAAATGCCACCAGTTGTCATAGGTGAAAGTTTATTAGTACTGGCATACAGAGCTTATTTAATGAGAAAACCCGTTCTCATTCCTTTTCTGAACATTGTTTTGGTTGGCGTAGTCCGGAAGCATGTGCTGCTATTCTCTGGAAGACTGCTGCTGCGGCCCCCAAGGTATTACATCATGATGCTTGTATTTTCCTGTTAATGAGGACTTTATTGTTTTTAGTTTTACAATGAGAACTTGTGTATAGTTTGAGAGTTATTTGCGTATAACACTAACTCGTTTTCATTGTATTCAGGCCGCGGAAGCTTTGCGTATCACTGCGCATGAGTTGGTGAAACTAAATGTTGTGGATGAGATTATTCCAGTACGTTCAGCTGCTTTACTTATTCTTCGGTAGAAATCAAGGGGGCATTAAGTTTGGGCCTGACAGTACATGTTTTATTGTTATCTTCATCAAGTGTTCGAAGAGATTTTTTTTACTCATGTTTTGGATTTTCTGCTGTATCCATGAGGTGCACTTATCTGTACTTATCACCTTGATATGCATTTTGCACTCTGATTCTCCCAGGAACCTATAGGTGGCGCACATTCTGATCCTGTGCAGACTTCCAAAAACATCAAGACGGTGGTCATGAAGCATATGAAAGTAAATCCATGTACCTATTCCAATTGAAAAGCTACTTCTTTCTATCTTTCTCATACCAATGATAACCCTTTTTTCTCAATTGGCTTAGAGTTATTACTTAGTCCTCATATTTCTAAGGTCCAGTTCGCTGTAGTTCTACATATTTACATGCTCTATTAGTCCCTTGTGGATCAAATCAACCCCTTAAACCGCTTCTAATAATCATATCTGTGTGCACGCAACAGGAGTTGATGAAGATGGATGTAGAGACTCTGTTGCAGGATAGAGCAGCCAAGTTCAGAAAGATAGGTGAAGTGGAGGAAAGTGCTGAAGTAGATCCATACATCAAGCGTAACATGAAGAAGAGAGACGCTCCTCTTGAAGGTGATGACCTCAGGATGCTTCCTTCTGGCAATGGAAGTGCACCCAAGGCACCCGTGGCTAGTAATGCAACCAGCGATAGCTTCAGGGAGTAGGCTTACAGATACCATGGGTGTAGGCCTATATTTTTAATGTCTAGTGCTTGCACCCTTCGTCTGACCTACATGTTTTGACGACATCCTCTTAGTTGAAGGAGATTGTACCGTATAAGAGAGTCCCACATAGATTCAGCGACTTGACTACCCTTGAGAATCAGCATTTAAGTAGCACCAGGTAGTGTTGGGTACATATCTATTTTAGCAATTTTATTCCTTTTCCTGCCAAAGATTTCTCGAGACTTCTCTGCAGTTGGGCTCTTCACCCCAGTTAGTGTGCTTTAGCAGTCTGCACTAAATTCAAGAGCTAGAAATTACAGCTTAAGATCCCTTATTACTGGATGCACCTGATGCTCGGATATACATACCTACGCAGATTGGTTTCTTGTGAGTTGAGTTTCTTAAGCAGCAATTGGGTCACTGAAGATGCTTTTGGAAAACAATTGAGGGGATTGCAGTCTTGTTTTTGTGCCCAACTGATACGATATTCTCAGAAGTCTATACAACTGCTGAGTTCGGCGTGGATCTGGTAACTTAGTAAACATTTTTAAGAGGAGGTCGACCATTCTGCCCAATTCGACCATTCTGTTTCCCACTAAATATTAGGGGCCCTATGCGAGGAGGAATTCATATCTAGCTTTAGAGATGGAACATGGAATTACATATGAAGAGGAGCTTCCAATGCTAGAAAATAAATAAATGAATAAAATAAAATAAAAGATACACACACACACACACACACAATAAAAGCATATTTTAAAATTTTAACAACTCGGTCTTTTAGTAATATATTAAATCAAATATATTGCATCTATTTATTAAAAATACTGAGTTTTGGCTTTACTTCTAATCATGTCTTTAATAGTGATGTTATTGTTTAATCTTTTAGAATACTTATTGTTGTACAAATTAACTATTTAAAAACAAGTATTATGAATGTCTTAATTACCCCTTTATTTATTTTTATTATTTTTGGTATTAAATAGTGATGTAGGTGGCTTGGTGTTTTCCTAATCAATACTTTATGGCATAATCAATAAATATCTATACTAGTTTTAATAAAATATAAAATAATAATAAATATTTAAATAGATTATAAAGCACCAAATGAAGTAATGCAATTTTTTTTCTTTTTTTCTTTTCAAAACAGGTCTCCCCAAAAGATTTTTGTATAAGTCTTTTTAGTTTTTGTTTATATGTATTCCTTCCAAACGAATATTTCTATTTTAAAATTTAAATGCTACCTTTTTTTTCTCCGCTTTACTCCTCTTTTTGAATAGTTATACTTGAAATTTCCCAAAGATATTTCTTTGTCCAGACACACTATCATAAATGTTAATTGCTTGTATTGCTTCAATTTTTAAATCTCATTTTTGTTATGATTTGTTATGAGATAACTCAATGTTTGGAATATGATACTTAAGTTTTTTTTATATTTACTTTAGTTAATTAGGGAAATTCATGCAACATAGCTCATACCTTTTAATCAGATAATTCATGGCTTTCTGAAAATTAAAAAGTAGAAGCTACTGGATTTCACACTTTCAACCATTCAAGCTTTCCAAGTCCAGGTTGTTAGTTTGAAATCTCTTTTATGTGGTTTATCAAAAAGTACACAATAAATTGTAGAAATTATATCTTAATAAATAGCAATTCGATTAAACACAAAAGCTATGAAAAAAAAATAAAAAAAAATAAAAGCATATAAAAGATGTCTAAAGAAAAATGCAACTTTTTTCACTTTTGCAAAATATTTCAAGAGAATATATTGAATTCATGTAGCTAATGTATGCAATAAAGTTTTGCTACCTATAATACAAATTATGTAACATAGTTTAGAAAGTTTTTTTTTTTTTTTTGTAATTATTATAAGTCTAGCATTTAAAATGGTAATTAAAGATGGAATTGAAACCACCGTTGAGATTTTACTAAATAAATTGTCACTTTTATTCTTTTTCTAATTATTTTATTTTCATGACAAACATCAATAAAAGTTTTGAAAAAATTGTTTTACTTTGATAACAATTCATTAGCTATGGGGGCTTCATGGGCATCCCACAATCCTGCAAGCGTTGCAACGAAGCAAACCAATTCTAGAGCGCACGGCGATGCGATGAACGCCACACTGAGTTCGACGAAGAAAACGGAGCAGCTGCAGATTCCCTCACTACCCATGGCGGAACCAAAAGCTACAATGATTGAATGCTACGTGGTGTCATGAATTTAATATGCAACTCTGAGACACCCACAGACGAAGAGACTGCGAGACTGGCCCAACCCCAGCAGCAGCAGGCATTGAATTTTCGCACTTGAAAGAAATCTAGAAGGAAAAAAAGGGGGAATTCGTTGAGATAATCTTCAGCAAAGCACATCATCCCACACGGTTGGTTCCTGGACCATATTTGGGGGCGAGGGAAGAGCTGGCGTTGGGCATTGGGAGTCACGTCAAGCGCAACTGGACAGATTGTAGATTCCAAGAGGGAAGGTTATAAATAGTACGAGAGAGTCCCCCCATTGCAGGGCTGTTTCTCGAGACTTAATGTTGCTCGTCACTAAGGGTTCAAAAGAACAATCGCATAAATGGCAATGGCACTACTGCGGGATGAAACTTTTGCTACCTCTTATTATAGCACGCCTTTACCCGGTTGGAAAAATCAATGGAACAATCCAAAAACCACTGTTCATTCGTGATGCTCAGCTTTCCCATGTGGCCCAACATGACAGGTAGTGCGGTCCAACGTTGTGTGTACCCACGACGCTTGTGGAGAAAGTATCTTTACGAAGTTTGTGAGGAAATCCTTGCTCATCTCCCTCTCCTCTCCGTGAGCTACAGTAGGTGAGACTCTGATGAGTTTCTAGAACTCGTGGAGAGTTAAGCGCTGTGTGTATGTGTGTGTTTTTATGTGTGCGTGTCTGCATCTGTAACTGCTTCCATGAACTTACCCTTTTCACTGTAAAGTTTTTCTCGAAACGCCGAAGTATGCGCATCTTTTGCTAAATGTTGCCTTCGCCATCGAAAATCTAGACTGCAGCAGCATGCGGTTCCAATATCCATGTGTTTTTCTTTTGCCTTCACACTGATGGGTTTCGTTTTTTTATCATTTTTTTTTAAAAAAATTCATTGTGGTTTTGTTTGGAATCACGTAGTGGTAGTTATATTTTTTAATTTTTGCACATGGATCAACAGTGGATTACATATTGAACTCTGTTTGTCATGAAGCATCTGGGTAAATGACAACCTGAAGGATTCTGTTATGAGACGTTTTAAGAGCGTAATTTGATACCGATATAGAAAAACATGTCATAAATAACATATCCAAAGTTTACATAAATATACTTCAACCATGAATAATTCAACATCTAGAAAATAAAATATGTATATATATATATATATATATATATATATATATATATATATTTCTTTATCTTGTACTCTTTTTTTCGTTTTTTTTTAATCCTTGAACCATGCCATTCTTTTGTTACACTATGAAGTTATACCATGCACATTAATTTGAATTAAACCCAATTCAAATCCTTGGAATTCTTTCCAATAAATTTGTCGAAAATTAGGTGAGGACACATTAAATTTAAAATATGTTTCTGTCCATGGGAGGAATATGAAGGAATAATTCAGGGAATATTACAAATTAAAATAAAATAAAAATCCCTACCCATGAGGACTTCTCCTGGTCAATGCAGGTTTGACGACGAAGTGAGTGCACTTAGTGTAAAAATGTGGGCAAAAATCACTCGTTAATCTTTGATTAGTCCAATGATATAATCAGTTAGGTGCGCCTACATTATCAACCCATCCCAAAGTGATGAATCATTTTCTACAAAACTACTTCAAACTAATCATCATGAACAATGACACAAGAAATCAAACTAAACAAACATCTTAATCTAAGCATTGAAATAATCCAGAATAAGAGATCCAGTGTTTTTTTTTTCTTCTATTATTTGTGGCCAAAACGGGGAAGATAAGAGCAATGCAATAAAGAGTCCAAAACGTTCATTTAATTAGGAGTAGGAGGACTTGGTGGGTGGCATACAGTGCGATATGGCAATCCTCGAGAAAGGCATACAGTCATTACCTCTCTCATGAAACTGCCTATATCTCTGGAAGTTCACAAGGGCGGACCGCTTTTGCTGGTCACTAGATCTGAATTATTAGCCTAGAATTCAGGGGAAACTGCCAAATAAAGGAAGACATGTTGTCAAGCTCAAAGTCCTTCAGATGTTGAAGCAGCAAGTGGTTTGCACAACTTATATACATGGGATTGTATGTATGACAACCAACTACAGGTGGGTGTATATTTACACAACTAGCTAACAAATTTGATCATAAATTTGTTATTGTCCGAGAACATGACACTAAAAGAAAAAAAAAAAAAAAAAAAAAAAAAAAAACTACCATCTAAATTGTCGATGGATATTCTTCTTGCCATTCGTGCAGGTGGGCAGTTTCGGTTCCAAGGGCGTGAATATTTCCATGGCGCTGTATTTAAAATGGTCGTTGTTACACTGCAGTTTTGGAGAAGAAAGCAAAAACCTGCAGGCCATGCGGTTATGGGATTCGCCGTGTAGGCCTGGCAGGGAGGGGCTCGTGTGGTGGGGTCGCAAGAGAGCTGGAATTGGACTTGTCCTGAGGGGTGTGCTCCAAGTGGGCTCATAAAAGGGATTAACATAGCCGCAAGTCAACCACGGGGGGCAGCAGTGAGAAGCTTCGCATCAGCGGACAGCGGATGCTTCCTCACCCTGCAACTTGGTGCCTTGCCTCCGCAGGCGCAAATCGTGCTGGAGATACATATCAAAAGAGACCTTTGAATTTATGACCTATGTTGAACATATGGCTGGACGAGTTTCTTACAACAGCTTCGCGTCCACGTTTACCTGCACAACTATTCTGCACAAATCGTGGGTTCTCGGGGGAGGGTTTTCGGCGGTGAAGTGTGACACTTTGATCCACCATGTGGATACTACCTGACGCCTTGACGTAAAGAGGGCTCGTGCTCGGACTTGCGGGTAAGGTCGTAGACTCCGACCGCGTCACTCTCTACCATATCTGTGATGTTGCCAGATGGGTGCGGTTTTCCAGGTGATGGAGAATCATCTCACATGATCGTTGGTAATGGTGGTGGCGAATTTTCTATCAACCATTTGGGTAAGCACGGTTTGAAATTGGACCGCAGCAAACAGCTACAATTACAAATGCTCGAGTCGTAAATTGTTATACTCAGCATGAATGGGGCGGGGGGGCAAGTGAATCGCGGACAACCGTGGAGAACTAAGTACATCTGAGACTGTCACATCATGGGTTTGTCCTACAGGAAAAAAGTGTTAGTTATAGTGGATTCCATGTAGAGTACAATCATATGACGTGACCTCAACAAGTTTTCTGCTCGCGAACATGGCACACGCCGCACGTTGTAGTGTCGCGCAGCGACCAGTCAGCCATTTGATCAGAACTAGTGCCAGCCAGTGGCGGAGTTTGAACTGTCTGATGGTTTGATGACACGCATGACAGGATCCCCCGCGTCACGCATTTATCAGCAGGCTCGTTGTGAGATCACCTTGCAATTCCGAATGTCAATATGTCAGGTTTTATGTTAACGTTGTGATCTGTAGACATTGTGGCAATCCGGCGGCGTCGCCATCACCAATTCAAGGTTCGGTCGCAGAATACCGAATTGAAAATGGGATTTAGGGCAGTTTGAAGAATCCACCTGACCAGTCACCAACTCCTCCATAGACTGTAGGCTTTCCGCTGTGCGCACTGTCAAAGAACAGCAAAATGCCTCCATGCTTGTCATTTTGCTGCCCAATAAAGCGCGTTGAAGCTCAAGTCAGAATCTGAAACGTGACGTCCTTAAGGTCGACAATAACCACACGAGAATTCCATATAATCATAAAATATGTAATAAAAACAAAAGGCTTGACAAGACCAGAGTTGTTGATGACAACAAGATGCAAGTTGATAGGGCCCCAGAACCATCCTTAGGATTTCCAAGTAAACATCTGAGCGCATTGAAGATAATTTCCTGGATTGTAGAAGTGGCTAAACTCACACCACAAGCGACGCCAACTTGGGGTTCCACCATTCGCCCCCACATTAATCAAAAGCGTCATGAGAATCATCAGGAAGTTCCTTTAATTTAGGCGATTCTGAATATCTTCTAGGAAAATTCGAAATGCCAAGACATGAAAAACTTCATGAAACATCTAAAAACCCACAGAATCTACCCCATGATTGCATGGCATGCAGAAGTGCTTTGCGTAAGCCTGTGACTCCATCATGTGACAGAAAACAAAAGAGCCCTTGTGGACACACACACAATGCAACGTGTACTGGTAAGTGTTCTTTAAAAAAAGAAAACAGAAAAGAAAACAAAATCCAGTGCTAATAAGCACTACAAAGGGTTGTAAGCTAAAAATGGTCGCTCGAAATTTGTACAAGGCTTTGGCTACTTGATTGCTAATAGAGAGAGCATCTTTCGTTTCTGGACTGGAGCTCCAGAAGCGATTTCTCTAATATCCCTCTCATTATCCCTGCTGCTGCTATGATCCTTAACATCCCTATCTCTACTGGAGGGTGCTTTGGAATTTCCATTCTCTGGCAAGTCAGCTGGCTTCGCGCTCTCTGCTGCAGGTTGACTCTTGGCTTTCCGATGCACGGATTCCATCAATCTACTCAAGGTTTGCTGTTCTTTGAGCTTGGCAGCGCGTTTGTTAATCAAATCTTGATGATGGACACACAAGGAGTAACCAGGCTCAGTGAGCCGGGAACATTGCCATCCCCTGCCATCATAGCGCTTGCACTGCGTAGGACCTTTGCCTTTCTGCGAGGAAGATGGCCCCCGCCGTCTGGTAGTCTTCACAACCACCGGTTCAGCAGCATCCTCATCCGAACCTTGTCTCTCTTCCTGAGCGGGAGTCGCCTGTGCAACAATGCTCTTGGGTTTTTCAGCTTGAACCTTCTTGCCTGATCTTGTGTTAGAATGCGGGTTCTTGTCTGCAGCTGTGAATTTGCTGGGCTGCTGCAGGTTGCTTCCTTTCCTGGCTTTCGCTGCATGCCGTAGGGAATCATCTTCATTTTCAGACGAGTCCTTCCCATCGCTCCCTGATCCTGCGGGCGCACTCTTGTGCACTATCCGTGTTGCCCCAGTTTGCCTCTTTGAGTCTGTCCTGACATCTAAAGTGGAGCAAAGTAGATATTTCTTGTCTCCTAATGAGATGAAAGAAGACGAGGATCGAAGAACGTTAGCTACTTGCACGGTGTGCCTTGCTCCACCTTCTTTGAGGCCTGGGAGACGTTGATCTAGCATATACTTCACTACCTCGCTGGCTGAGAGTCCGTTCTCGCCACATGTGTCGAACACATAAAAAATGGAACTAATCAGAGCGTCCTTGGAATTCTCTGTTGGCTTCTGTGGAACTGGCTTTACTGGCACTTGCTCAGTTGTTGTAGAATGTTCTGAAGCAGCCAACCTGCAAATGAATTGCGCTTCAGATTTTATCCAAATGAATTGCGCTTATAATTCCATCAAAAGGTTCTTCATTCATGGATCAATTGTTGGGTAGTAATCCCAGCTTTTGTTCGTCATAAAACCGAAGAATCCACTTGAGGACCACAAATTAAACATCCTCACGCTCGTGAAGCAAAGATTCTGTACCTTTGACGTACACCATTGGCCAACTGATCCACCACCAACAGCTCTGCAGCAGTCATGGAAGAAGATCCCTGTCAAGGCCCAACAACAGTCAAGTCAATCTAAGGCTACCATAGCTTTACTTCAAAGTCAACAATTCATTTGAGTTGCACCATTCACCACATTCTCAAACCCACGTTGGTTCTTCGCCAATTGAGTGCAGAAAAATGTTCAACACGTGCTGGCGTGAAACCTAGGTTAAGACTAATGAAAGGTAAGCGAAAAAAACCCAGGGTCCCAGACACTACAGATTTTGGAAAGTTCAATGCGGCTAGATGAAGCGGACCTTCGAAATCATGACTTTTCATACCCAGAGAGGCCCCACATAGTTGATCACCTACAGTGGATGCTAAAGAATCAATTACAAGACCTACAGGTAGCCAAGGAGATATGTCAGCAACAAATTGCACAGTAATACGGTGAATCTCATAAGGGCCGTGCACAGTCCACTGGACGAGACGGTCTCTGGCTGGTGGAGCTTGAGAAGCTGACAACACACCCTCCAGCTCCGACTTTATAGGAGCCCTAAGCTTCTCCACAATTCCTGGACTAGAAACCCTAACCTCGAACGCTCAGCACTTGCGCAACGACAACCCCATCTTTAGCAGATAGGTCTGTGAAACCCTGGCCGCAAAGAAGGAGAAGGCGCCAGTCTAGTAGGACCGGTTCCAGATCACTTGCGAAGGTTTCCCGCACACTATGAATGAAGCACTCTGAGATTCACTGAAGATTTCAGGTCGCTGAGAATGAAAACAAATAAAAGGCTGCGCAAACCAGGGACTGAAGCCGACTAAAGTATGACAACACCGCGCCGAGGTTGCCCAAGTCGCACACCTGTGCTACTGGAGAATTACAAACCCCCCTCACAAGAAAGTACTCATGAGAAGTAGGACACTACATTACACCGGCTACTGTGAGACTGCGGTTGCCCCCCGCCGAAGAAATGCTGTGTTTCAGCGCCAGTAAGTGCGGGGGACAGCGTCTACGCAACCTGGTTCCTAAATGAGAAGGTGTACCCCGTATAGCTCAAATTCGAGATCATACAGCTGTCCCGCACTTTGCCTGCCCCCCAAGTTTCTCACCGTTGTGAACTTGGGCGTTGCGTGTCCAGCATCTTGTGCGAAGTCTGTAGAGAAGTTACAACATTTGCAAGAGTGTCAACTGCAGGTGTGTGGACCAAACGAAAACCCCAGTAGTGGAGGAAATACCTCGAAGACGGGTTTAGTTTCGTGCTCAATCTTTCGCCTCTTGGTGGGTGATTGGCTCGGGCGGACTTTGTCGGTGACACCGTCATCTCCTGGACCTGATAGATCTCCATCGCTGTAAGTGCTCTTCACGTTCGCATCCGAGAGTCGATGGTTTTCTAACACCTGCCCATGCGCAAACACAAACGCCGACTGAGAAACCAAAGTGCAGGAGTACAAAACCTAGGAGAGGTCCGCCACTTCTGTGTGCGAGGTTCAAACTGCACTCGAACTGACTGGATAAGCACACTCTCATTGAAGTCGTCCCTAGTATCTCATCATGGATAAGTGACTTTCAGGAGGAATCATACAGCAGCGTAACTCGAACCCCAAAGTACTAAGACGTCAACTGCTCAGACCAGAAAACCCTCCAGATCCCATCGACAACTGCGACCAATTCGGGATCACTGCAGGATATCTGCATCTTGTTGTACCTGAGCCGCAAAACTCATGGAACCGAAAGGGAAGAATCCAAAAGTGCCAACCTCGACTACAGCCAACCACTGAGCACTCTCGATCACCAACAGTGCCCGGGCAGAAGAGCCCCCTCGCCGACCCACATACAGCGAACTAAAATCCACCGCATGCAGTGGTGCCGCTGCAGGAAAGCCGAAATCGAGAACATGATTCCCAGGTCATGCGCGCATCCCACAGACAGATTTGATCTAAACGCACTCTACCAGACTGCAGAATGAACCACCCGGTCCCGTAGACCGAATTGCAGACCCCCCTCCCACTCATCTGGTGTCGCTGTACTTATCCCCTCATACAACCCTCTGCAAAGATTCTCATGTCTCACCGGCGGCTCTGCGTAGACGTCGGAGCTGGAATGGGGCGATGCAAGAGGCGAGCCACCGTCATCCAGGCGTCGATTCCCCTGTATGTTGCTGCATACAGCGGCAGGCGATGCAACTGCGCTCTTTCCCCCAGAACCTCGCATGACCCCATCTCCCGGAGACGTCTGATACTTGTAGGAGATGGGCTGCGGTGGTGTAGTGGCCGGAGCCACCGACTGACTCCGCTTGCGAATCCTCATACCTAAAAGCTCACGCAGACAGACAGACAGACCAAACAACAGCACGCGGCGAGGGAGAGAGGAGAGAGAGAGAGAGAGAGAGGGCGACGAGTGGGATAGACACGAGAGCAAGATGTGAGTGCTGGAAAAGAAAAGGATGTGAGAATGGGAGCCCCTAGCGATGCTCAGGCCAAGCGAGCAAGGGCAGGAGGCGTGGCTCCAGATCAAAGCAAGGGGAAGGAAAGTCCTCAATTACTTGCGCTTTTCTCGCTTCTCTTTAATCTGTGATAGGCTTACCATCTCCATGCGATTGACCGTGCACTAAATAAAGCATATCTACCCTAAGATGTGGCTTGCTTCGTCCCAGTTTTCTACCGCATTTTGGCTTATTTTGGCACGCCTTTCCCTTGCCCGGTAAACTTTTTAAAATCAGTGGCAGATGCGCAACTGCAGGAAGGTCACTCCTTCGTGACTTCGGCCCCACTGCTGACTCTATTCGGAGACTATCTGCTTCGCTGCTGGCGTTCTCCATCGATGGAGGGCAGGTATCATCCGGGATCTCATTGTAACGAACTGAACTCAGTCAAGTAGGAACCCAAGCTCAGCAAGATGCCCTCGCCGAAAACCTGCATCGTCATCCATCTCCCACCATCATCTTCCAGCCATTCCTCACTGGGAGATCAACTTCCGTAACTGTAGTTTAGCCGCTACCCGCGAACTTTGCACGCCTTCCAATATTAGCAAGAGCCGCTGTATCTACTTGCCATGAGCTTGCTCTGTATGTCCTCAAATTCCATCTCTCCGCACCTGCAGCATAATTATAGTGCCATGCGGCATCAATTATAGTGACGCCCCCTGGTGCTCTCCACCGAGACAACTCGGGATACTGCTCACGCTCCGCCCTAGTGGGTCCGGGCTAAACGTAATCATATTCCTCCCTATTCTAGCCCGCTGGTTAATTGCTCTCAACACCCCCCCCCCCCCCCAGTGGAATTTTCAGCCTCTCCATCTACACCTTCTAAATCTCATCCTTTTCACTTGTGATTAAACTCAAAGCTTAAAAACCAAATCGAAACTAAACAAACAAAAATACAAACAAACAAACAAACAAACAGTTACTGCATCGGAAAGGAAAAAGTAAACAAAAGAGAGAAGGAGAGATAGAGAGAGGAAGGGGTGGGGGGGGATTGTCACTCACCAGTTAAGTGTGATGAAGATGACTAACATCATCAGCAGCAGCAGCAGCAGCATCTTGAACCCACCGAGGGGCGAGGCGGCTCAGTCAACCAGGCTGCCCTCCGTCCGTCCCTCCCTGCCTCCATGAGATTGTGAGTCAACAACATCTTCAACCTACAGCCCGCCCTCCCCCTTTCTTCCCCTCTCTCCCTCTCCATCTACCCTTCCTTGCTTGCTTCTTCAACCTCCTCAAGGAATTTTCTAATGCCGTCTCATCCTCCTCGTCCTCATCCTCCTCTTGCCTCATGTTTCCCTGTTCCTGCTGTGATGCCTAGCCCGCACTGTGCCACCACCATCACCCCATTTCGAAGACGACAACCCCTTACCCCACCCCCACCATGACCACAACCACGACGACGACGAGGTGCAGGAGGAGGTCCCTTTGGCCCTGCAAGGTTGAACGGCAAAAGTGGTCGCTGGTGGGCTGCGGTCGTCCCTTCGCTTCACTTGTCTTTCAGTTTCAGTGCAGTTTAGTTCAACCCCACAACTGGAAGATTCTCCTTCCTTCCTTCCTTTTTACTTCTTCTTCTTCTTCTTCTTCTTCTACACCATTGTGGACTGACACGCACTCTCTACCCTTCCATTGCTTTTTGCATTGTTCTAATGTTGTTTTTTGGGTTGCTTCTTTGCAGTGTAATTGCTTTTGGGCAGGGCTAGGATGGTTCCACTCACGGTATCCCACACCATTCCGTATGACTACACCAACCCCCCTTGACATTGTATTCCCTTTTAATGTTTCTATATTTGCATGTTTGTTTGTGCTATGTAGAACTTTTTCACCACAAGCATACTACTAACTTTGTTTTAGGATCTTTTGAGTTATTTTTTTATGTGGAGTATAGGGATGATGCGAATTCTTGAAGTAAGTAAGAAGTTTAAATTAAGTTTGAAGATCTTTTTTAAATTTTTTAGATGATTGAATGAGATTTATACATAATGTATTTGAAGAATTTTGTTGGATGTATTTTTGGTTATTTATGAATGCATTCTTCAAAGAGGATATAATTTTTTGCACACTCATTCTCATACAAATTGCTATAGTTACCAAACAAACAAATAAACATATGTGATCAATTGAATGTTTTTTGACTTATTTTGAAAAAAAATATAATTCATAAGATGATTTCAAATCTCTTTTGTAACTACTTGTATATTAATCTTTTAAAAAATAAAATTTAATTATATCTTAATATATTTTTCGAATAACATATTAAAATAAAAAACAATTCATCTCACTTGTTGTAAAAAATAAAAAAATATATGAAAATAACATAACTACATATTATATATATAGTGCCATTGGGTATTGCAAAAATTAATGCCATTGGGTATTGCAATCTCTAGCACATACATCTATTTTCTTATTCATCTATGCTTCTTTGTTCTCATGTTCTCATATTTCCAAGTTCCCATATTCTCTAGTTCTATGTTCTCATGATTCTTGGTTCTCAAAAACTTTAATTACCATGTCCCTTGGTTCTTTTGTTCTCATATTTTTTAATTCCCATGTGTTTTCAATTTCCTACATGTTTTTTCAATTTCCTACATTTTCATCTTCATGGCCAATCAAAAGACTTCTTTATCTTTTTATATTATATTCAAGTTGTCTTATATAATAAATATGATACTTTTTAATATGTTCATATCAACTTTAATAATTTTTTATAAAATTTTCAATATTTTTCTTATTTTTTAAAAATATAGTGATATTAATAATTAAAGTTTTATATGCGCTTATCAATAAAAAAATCAAAGTACCAAAAAATAAATTATTATGAATATTTTAAATAAAAATAGATAAAAACTTAAAATTTAAAATATATATTTTTTATTATAAAATTTTTAAAAAATAAATTAAAGTAAAATAAAATTAAAATATTATTTTTAATTTTTTAATAAATATTGTCAAAAAAATTATGCAATATTATATTAATGATAAAACACAATGTCAATAAGAGATTCATAATATAAATTGATGTTGTTAAAGAATACTTAGCTAATATTTAACTTGTAATAGCTTTTGTAGAAAATTCAATGTATATTTTTTATTTAAAAAAACCACTATCATAAAAATAAAGTTATTAGAATTATAAATTAATAAATTCAATATATATTTTTTATTTAAAAAAACCACTATCATAAAAATAAAGTTATTAGAATTATAAATTAATAAATTCATAATAAAATCTATTTAAAAAACTATTCTCAATCATAGATTATTTATAGTTACAAAAATTGACATAAATAAAAACATTTAGCCTTTTTTTTAACAATATATCACATGATTGTAAAAAATTTTCAACATTTTTTTATATTAGTAATCAATGTAAATTTCTTTAAATTAATTTTAAAGTAGTATTTATCCAAAACGACTTATTTTCTAAAATATGTATTATGATTTAAGTACACATCATGATATTATATATATATATATATATATATATATATGGAATTATCAAAGCCACATCTCAATGTTCCTAAAGCCACATCCTCTTCCTCTACCATCTCATGATTGATTTCGTCTATCCATGTTTCATGTCTTTATTTCCCTCCCTTGTTCTTTGTTCCCTATCCTCATTCCTTCTTTTCTATCTCTATTTTTGTCTTTCGTTTGCTATCTCCCATTTCAATCCTACTTCCTTTTTCAACTCCTACTTGTTCTTGTTCTAAACTTAAGACCATGTTTTTATTTGTATCTCATTAAATCAGTTCCTTGTTCTTTTTGTACTAGTCAATGATTTAGCATTTGTTACCTTTGTCAATTGAAGTATCCTCTATTGAAGCTTGAATGGCACTGTTGAACATGTACTTGTTTATCTTGGTCAATTAGGAGAAGCAAATCTACATATTCTTAGATACAACCTTGTGGATATTTTTTTGGTTGTTCTTTATAAAAAATATCCCTTCTATTTGAAATGAAGTAACTTCCTCCTCTTCCAATTTGGCCTTAATTACTTGCTTTGTGTATAGGCCCTCATTGCTATAAATAACTCATCTTCTCCAAAAATCAACATCAAATCATTCTATTATGAAACTAGTCTTACATTCGACATAACACACCATTGTAAATTTTTGTAATATATCATTTTTGTATAGCTTAGAAGTCTTCCTTGCTATCTAAAAGCTTTGTGTGTGCATTTAAACTTTGTAGAAATTGAATTCAAAATAAAGCAAACATAGTTGCTATAGAAATGATTCAAGTTGTAGTTGTTGCTAAGCTCAAGGGTCTCATGGCATTGCATGTCTAGGATAAATTGAGCAAGTTGAATAGAGCCAAAGTTGCAAGCACCTCAAAATTAATGATCTTCCTTGAAGAAAAGGTGTGGTGCAACACCAATAAGAGTTAAGGTCCTTTAGAAGATGCCGAGACTATAGTGGACTAGCAAATGAAGACAATGATCATCAATGATAACATCTTGTACAATTAGGAAAGCAACAAGTTAGAGAAGGAGTCTATGATGGGCATGGAGCAAATATTAGGGTTGTTTACCAGCTTAGAGGTAGAGATGAGGCCAAAAATTAAAGACAAGTAGTTCTTTAATATGTTCACATTTGATTAAGTAGCACCCAAGACTATCAATTCTTAGTTGGTCATGTTGGAATTTTTGTAGGTAGAGAAGCTCATTGAACAAACTATATTCAAGCAAGTCACAAATGTTGGTCAACTTAAGAAAAAGGTTTCAAGTTCGAAATAGAAATGGGAGAAGAGTGGTGGAAATACAAGATAAGAGACATGAAACAAGGAAGGAGAACCAGAAATAGAAATGGAAATAGATGGAATCAATTATGAAATGACAAAAGAAGAAGTGGTTTTAACAACATTGTTACATGGCTTTAACAAATCCCTATATATATATATATATATATATATATATAACAAGAAAAAAATCTTAATTATTATTAAAAAAACTAGTAGCTTATTATACATAATTATAATTATTTATTTAAAAAAATTATAAAATAAAAATTTACTTGATTTTATCTACTACCTATTATCATTTATCATTCAAATATTTTTTTAAAAAATAATTTCTAATCTTAATTTAATATTTTTTATTTTATATGTGAATATATATGTATATATATAATTATTATATTAAAGTTTGATTATTTTGGATGCATATAATTTTATTATAGAAAGAATCTTAAGGTAGAATTTTTTTTAAAAATGTTAAATATTAATTAATTTAAATAAATAAATAAATATTAATATATAATATAGAATAATATTTATTAATTTAAATTTAAAATATAAATAATAAATAATTTTAATATACTAATATATCAATAAAATTATATAAGGTATTTTTTTCTATTAATTATTTTTTTAAAAGAAATACTTGTGGGAATTTTTCCAACTTCTTAAAGGTTAATAAGTTTTTTTAGATTTTTATATTACATTCAAAAAATGTTTATTGTCCTTCTGCCAATTCAAAATAAAAATACCAAGTGTTTTTGTAGTCTTCTAAATATTTTCAAAGTTTTGAAAAGTCTTTTTGAAAGAATATTTAAATTGAACTTGAATTTTACTTGTCATGTCTAAAGTAGAATTTGGTTACAGCATATTCATTATTTTATTATATTCTATAATTTTTATTCAAAAAAACATATAGCTTTAAATTTATTTTTTAATCGATAAATTATTGAGGTTTCAAATTCTGAAATTTTAGTAGAATTTCAAATGCGTAAATATTTGTTTAATATTTCAAAGATAAACTCACATTAATTTTGTGTTAATCATTTCTTAAATATGTGGTCAATGTACTTTAAAATGTGTAATTTTTAAATTAATATACATAAAAATATAAATTTTTGTCTATTAAATTTATATTTTTAATTCTATGCATTATAAAAATCGAATTTATAAAAATAAACTTTAAAAAAATAATCCCAAATTTGAGAATATGTTTTACTTTAAATTTTCATGATATTAAATTGCTTTTTGCTTTGATAACAAGTTGTTTTAATGAAATAATTGATAATTTTTACAACCTGAAAGTACTAATTAACGGTTCACACAATATCTGACTTGGTCTCGCTACATTATTTTATCTTTAAATACTTTGATACAAATTATTATAAAATTTCACAAAATTATAAAAAAATATAAAAATGACAGAAGTTTTAAA